TCATTAATATAAAGAGCGTAATTTTATTGGTATACCCTGAAAATTTCATTTAAATTAAACAAAATTTGTTAAAGTTGCATACTATTTAAACGAAAGCCCTAAAAACAACATGCTTTTGATGAAAATTTTAAAGTATACCGACAAAAATAAAGATTTTAAAATGCAACCACAAAAAAGAGCATTCTTTTTTTAGTATATCTACCCTAAAAATTTAATAGAAAACTTTTAGTTACAGAGCATTCAGAAAAGTTTAACAAGGGTCCTTATTAAAGGTTGGTTTTAAATATTTTTAGCCATACCGACAAAAATACGACTTTTAAAATTCTATTAATACAAAGATCTTAACTTTTCTTGGTATACCCTAAAAAATTTATCAGAATCCGATAAAATTTGTAGAAATTACAGCGCTTTACAAAAGTTTGGTCTTAAAATAGTCCAAATTCCTTAAAATCCAGTTGCTAAAAAACGGTTTTACCATCTCAGAACAATTCAAAGAATGGCGTTCTTTAATGCTTTTAACGGCAAGACTGATAATAAAAAATAAATCGTCCAAAATTAACATAAATAAGCACTTTGCTCGGTCCGTTCAAAAAATGCAATTCTACTAATTAATCGCCTTAAGGAAAGAATGACAAAAGCCAAAAAGGGGGCATTTACACAAAGACAGGCAGACAGACCAAGTCTCAAGATGCTTTCGTCGTCTCTACCCTAATTTAGATTCCAAACATTCTTTCTTTAGCCATCTGTCACAAATTTGGTTGGAATTCCATACAAAAACAACACCCTAACATTATATTTAGTTCTCTTTAAAAGAAGCTATTTATACAGAGTGATATTCTATATCTGTACCTCAGAGCCAAACTGTATTTTATTTTATTTTTAAATTTAAAATTAGGACTTTTAGATTCTGATTAAGCGAAGAAGCATACTTTTGTTAGTATAACCTAATAACTTCACTAACATTATTAAAAAGATAAAAAGGTACAGAGATTTAAAAAAACAAAATATTATAACCTAAATTTTGTAGTAATTTCAGGGTATTCCGACAAAATAACGGCTTCAAAAATGCCACATAAAGAAAGAGCGTACTTTTGTTAGTGTATCCTAAAAATTTCACTAAAATCGAACAAGAGTTGTTAAAGTTACAGGGTATTTAAAAAAAATTTGACCAAAATGTTAATTTTTGTTAAAACATTAACTTTTTCTTGAACTTTTTAGACTATAAAGACTTTTATTTTAGAATGTCATCAAAGAGTATATCATAATGTTTATACTTCTACAGGGTGATTGAAATTGAAATATTTTTCATTTCTTTTAGGTTTACAAAACCCCAGTCCTTCGCAGACTGTGTAGGAAACGAGTTGCCTTTAGGATGGGAAGAAGCATACGATGGTCAGATAGGACCTTATTACATTAACCACGTCAGTCGTAAGTATTTTTTTGTAATAAAACCATTATTAAAATAAACGCAAGCAATTGTAATATCGTAGTAAACATTACAAATGCAGTGCCTACGATCGTTTGATAACAATTTTTCATAACTATTTATAGAATTTACGTATTTTATTATTATTAAAACGGTAAAGTTTTGATTTTATTAAGCTTTAAACAAAGGGTTTTAAGTGTACGTAGTTTTGATAGAATCCTCTAAAAATTGTACTTACATTCATTCAAAGGTATAAAAGTTACAGAGCATTTAAAGTATGAAATTAAAAGTTTTTCAAAAATTGTCGAATTTTGGCTGTTTTTTTAGGGTACATCGGCAAAATAACGACTTTTAGAATGTTACAAAAAACTTTTGTTGGTACCTATATCCTAATAATTTCATCAAGTTGCAAACATTAAAAAAGCCATACTTATAAAAAGACTTATTTAAATTAATTTGTTGGGGTATACCGACAAATTTACGACTTTCAATGTAACCAAGAAAAACAGTTATGAAAATTCATTAAAACTGCACCACAACAGTAAACATTTGTGTTAAAAAAGTCTAGTTGGGAGCCAAATTGTTAAAATCGTCGTAACTTTCTTAATTAATGATAGGCTAGTAAAATTTTCAGAATACTAATTTGAATACGCTTTTTAAGAATGTTAATGCATTTTTTACAGAATGTACTCAACTGGAGGACCCCAGACAAGAATGGAGGGCGATCCAGGAAGACATGCTAAGGGATTATCTAGAAACTGCTCAAGAAGTTTTAGAGGTAAGCGATTTAATCTTTAAAATAACTTTGACCTGCAAATTTTTGAAATTCCTTTGGATGACGTTTGCGTATAACAAACAAACAACAACAACAAATATAAGAGCAGTACTACTACGTAAATATACGTATGGAACGTAAAAGAGCGGCCCCGTGGTTTCCACCAGGTTTCAAAGGTCAACTCGAATTCCCGACATACCGAAGCCGATATTTTTACGACTTCCATCGGATTTTATTGTGTTCGGGACGTTTTTTTTACGGCCGCATTTCGACATTCCACACTCATAACGTCGTATGCCTTCCTCCTTCTCTTCTTCTTTGCTTTGCGTTTTTTAAAACAGTTTTTTTGATCGATTTGTGTAGGTTTTAAGTGGTGATTACGGGGTGTATCAACAGAATTTCGGCTCAGAATGACATCATTGGATAGAGCGTACTTTTGTTAGTATACCTTCTCTGAATAATAAATATTTAATAATTGTAAAAGTAAAAGAGCGTTAACAAAAGTTTGATACGTTGGGCAGCAATATGTTAAAATCGTCAACAGTTGTATTTTTAGGGTGTACCGATAAATTTACGACTAAAAATGTCATATCAAAAAAGAGCGTACTTTTCTTAGTAAACCATGCAAATTTTTTTAAATTTGAACAAAAATTGTAAAAGTTACAGGAGCTTCTTAAAAAATTGACAATCGTCCTTCTAAAAGGTCTGTATTAAAAGAAATTTTTAAGGTATGCTAACAAAATTACGATTTTTAGAATTTTATTATAGAAAGAGCGTACTTTTTTAGTATGTCCTAAAAACTTCATTAAAAAGGGACAAACATTTTATAAAATACAGAACTTTTTCCAAGCATGTTTTTTTATTAAAATTACATAGATGTAACAGATCTGTTTAAAAACTAAATTATTAAATCTCATCATGGTTAAAAAACCTTAAAAGAATATATAACTATCAGCAATAAGAAGCGCTTGAGAGCTACAATGTTGCCAAATATACTTCAATAAACAACAATTTTACATGGTAAACCTCAAAAAAGAGAATAATAATGCAAAAAAACGCATTAAAACCATCTTAAAACATTATTTTTTATATAACATCGATAAAATCTCTTAATATCGCTCAAATGCGGACTACTTGGCAACGTAGCGTCGTTGGTATGTACATCGGCAACCTGTTGATCGCGCGATCGGCCGCAATGGAATGTGCGTTCGGTTCGGTTTCGGAAAAGATCGGTGGAATGCGATGGCCCGCTGGGACCGTGCGGCGTAACACAGGTAGCGGCCGCAACACGCGGTTTTCCATCCCCCCTTGCCCCTTAGCCGCGCTTGCGTGCCCCCCTCTCCCTCCCGCGTCGCGTCCGCACGCTGCCGTGCCCTTTCTTCTCCACTCTCTCGGAGAGAAGAGTTTTGTCGTTTTTACAGACGGTTTTTTCGGACGGTGATTACGGTTTTTAAAATGTCATGCCTAGAAAGATCGTGTTTTTTAGTATACACTGAAAAAAATAAGGTAGAAGTTACACAGCTTTTAAAAAGTTGGACGTCAATTTGTTAAAATTGTAGCTTTCCTTAAAACTGTCGTAATTTTAGGGTATACCGTCTAAATCAAGACTTTTAAAATAACGATAAAAGGAAGAGCGTACTTTTTTAGTATACCCTGAAAATGTTATAAAAATTGAAGAAAATTTGTTAATTAGTTGCAGGGTGGTTTGGAAAAGTTAGACACAAATTATTAAAATCGTAAAAAATGCCGTAACTAGAATTTCAGTAAAGGTATATCCAAAGATAATTATTATTATTATTATCTTTCGGTATATCGACAAATTTACGACTTACATATAATATCAAAAGAAAGAACGTAATTTTTTTGGTATATTCTAAAAATTGCATCAAAATCAATATTAATAAGTTGGGCGCCAAATTGTTAAAATTCTATTTTCTTTGGTTTACCCTGAAAACTTCTTGCATTCTTGTGCGAGGTTGAGTTCATGGAAACGTTGACTTTTTCAATGAATAAAATTAAGGAGAGAAGAAGCAGAAGAAGAGAGGAATTTTTCAGCCATTAATAATTCAAACGCGATCTGAAAACGGAAGATAAGCGATCGCGTTGGAATTTATACTATTTATTCTCCTATTATTGTCGGGGAACGAGAATCGTCGAGAAAACAATGAACAAACTTGTTTCCTGTGTACACATTATTATTTTTATTAATAATATGAGGAATATTCATTGGTCTGATTTAAATACATATGTATATAACAGTGAAACATATGGTTTTTAAAAAAAATATCTGCAACTATTAGTTTTTTGTTCGATTTGGCACACCAAAAAAAGTGCGCCCTTTAGCTTGGTGGCATTTTGAGAGTCGTAATTTTGTTGGTATACCCTAAAAAATTCATTTAAATTTAAATTAAATGCATTGTAACTTTTACAATGTTTATGCAATTTTTGGGGAATTTAACCTTTGTAATTTTGTCGGAATACCCTGAAATTAAAGTTGAAATAAAATTTTGACAAAGTTATAAACATTTTTTTGAAAATCTTGCAAACAGGACCTTTTCTTAGGTAAAAAATAAAAATCGTCAAAAATATTGTGTTGTTTTGAACACAATGGTCGAAATTTTTAAAATTTATTCCTTAGTTCGGTGCCATCTTATTTGGCAATTTCTTTGTTGTCTTTTTTCTTTTGGAGTTTTGTGGCGCGCGTCCTAACTCTCGCCATCTCTCTCCGACCAATCGGGGGGCATCGTCGTCTCTTTCTTCACCTCGAGATGCTGAAAAATGCGCCTCTCATCTTTTCGAAGCTGGCTGGCCACGTGACCCCTCGAACTGTGGAATGCCACACGGAAATTAAAATAGTAGTCTGGCCAGCGCTGGGCCCGGTCCAGCAACAGAACCCTGAAGGACGCCAGAAGGCCATCGCGTCAGTCGTGGAAGAGATGTGGCCCTTGCCTCACGCGTCCGTGCTCCAAAATTCGCCGCAGATGCATCACATGCACACACTACCGTCGAATTACGGCGGTTTAGCGGAACAACCGTTTTTTTATCCAGTGTTTCGGACTCTACCGGCTTCCTATTACATCCAAAGGCGATCATACGATGAAGCTTTTGATTCATATCGCAGGGCGTACGAACAATACCATCTAAAATCGTACCAAGAAGAAAGAATTTACGAAAACTTAAAGCAATACCAAAAACTACCACAATATCGCGAAAACGGTATCCAAGTTCGATATGTGCCAACACACAGAATCGTTGAAATTGTAAGTGTGAAAAGTGATGTGATTCATCGGAATATATATTTTATTTAATATATAAAAACTTTTAAGGTATACCGACAAAAATACGACTTTAATATAAACGGAATTCTATAAAGCGTACTTTTGTTAGTACACCCTAAAATTTTATGAAAATCTTATTATTTTTAAACAAGTTACTAAGCTTTAAAATTGATTTTATTATTTTTAAAATTTATATACATTTGTAAGTATTAAGGGTTAACTAACTGTAAATTGTATTGTATTTTATAAAGCATGCTTTCAATAATTAAATTTAATTAAAATCCCAACATTTCTATCAAAGTTACGGAGCTTCAAAGTTGCGACCTTGTATAAGGACGGTTGTCAAACTTTTTTAAATGCTCTGCAACTTTTACAGGGGGTAACAAGAAAAGTATGCTCTTTAATTTGATGACATTTAAAAAGTCGTAAATTCATCGATATAGTTATCCTAAATTTTGTTTTTAAAACTTACCTTTTAAAAGAGTATTTTTTTAATTGCAATGTAAATTTTACAAATTTTGATAAAAATGTTCTATAGTGTACATTTTATAAAGCGTGTTTTTTTTGTTAAATCATATTTATCATTTATAAAACTTATAATCTATTAATTTTGTAAAAAACGTATAGGACATTTTTAACTCTTTTAAAAAAATTTTACTTTTTACTAAAAAATTAACAAACAAATTTAACCTGAAAATCTAATATAAATAAAAGAAATTTCCATTTTAACATTTTGGCGGCTAACGTTTTTTTTTTAAATTTCTGTAACTTCTACAATATTGCTCGGATTTTAATGACATCGGAATATATGTTTTATTCAATATATAGAAACTTTTAAGGTATACCGACAAAAATACGACTTTTATATAAACGGAATTCTATAAAGCGTACTTTTGTTAGTACACCCCTAAACTTTCATGAAAATCTTATTATTTTTAAACAAGTTACGAAGTTTTAAAATTGATTTTATTATTTTTAAAATTTATATACATTTACATTAAGGGTATACCAACCAAAATAAGACTGTACTGTAAATTGAATTTTATAAAGCGTGCTTTCATTAATATACCCTAAAAATTTAATTAAAATCCCAACATTTCTATCGAAGTTACAGAGCTTTAAAGTTGCGACCTTTTAAAAGGACGGTTGTCAAACTTTTTTAAATGCTCTGCAACTTTTTACAATTTTTAGGTAGTACCAAGAAAAGTATGCTCTTTAATTTGATGACATTTAAAAAGTCGTAAATTCATCGGTATAGGTATCCTAAAAATTTTATAAGAGGAGCTTTTTAATTGCAATGTAAATTTTACAAATTTTTAAAACAAATTTCTATGGTGTGTTTTTTGTTAAAACTTATATTTATCAATTATAAAATTTATAATTTATTAATTTTGTAAAAATCTTATAGGACATTTAAAAATGTTTACTCTCTACTAAAAAAATCAAAAAACAAATTTAACCTGAAAATTTCATCAAAATCTAATAAAAATAATAGAAATTTCGATTTTAATATTTTGGCGCCCAACTTTTAATTATCTGTAACATCTACATAATTGCTCGAATTTTTAGGAGGGTCCACTAATAAAAGTACGAAATTTTAGATGATAATTTTTAATTTAATCAATTGATTTTATGGCTCTGTAACTTTCACAAAAACTATGATAATTTATGAAAATTTCAGGGTTTACTAACTGAAATACACTTTTTGTAATAGTGCTGATGAAATTGGTATACCCTGAAATTTGCATTTTATTTAATAAAAAACATTATTTTAATAAACTCCATGTTTATATTGCATTGTATATTCTCAGAAATCCCTAACCACTGGGACCCGTAGTAAAAGTCTGCTATGCTAAAAAGTCTACCTGCCAATATCCAAGACATACGGTCAAAAATGTACGGAATGTCTTAGGCACCATTCAGCGCTCAATTATTGAACACCTGGAGACGGTTGTCGACGCGGTGACAAAAATAAACTAAATTTGTTTTCTTTTTTTGTTACAGGCTAAAAAAGATATATTCCAAATCAAATCACAGAGGCTGATGCTGGCGCAGGACGAGTACGATCACTTGAACAATGCCTTAGCAACTTTAACGACTTCTAGAACAAGCCGTAAGTTGTTAGAAAAATATATTTTTTGTTTCATTAAAAAAAATTAATTACATATCTGGAAAAGTAACAATAATATAGGTTTTTTATATGACGCTTGGTTTTGAAATCAGCGTGATTTTTTTTAAATGTAGAAAAATTCGCGCTAAAATTTTAGTTACGGTTTTTACATTTTGTTGCCCATCTTGTCGTATTTTTAATGCTCTAAATTTCACAATTTTTATACGATTTTGGAAAAATGTTTCTTGGTAATTAAAAAACTATGCAAGTTTGCTGGTATACCTCTAAAATTGCATTAAAAATAATATTGCATTTTGGCACCCAAAATGTGAATCTTTTTTAAATACTCTTGAACTTTTACGCTTTTTGTTCAATTTTAATGACTTTTTTAGAGTATAGTACCAAAACTACGCTCTTTTATTTAATGATATTCTAAAAATCGTCATTTTGTCGATATACCCTAAAAGTTCCATTAAAATTAAACTTTTTAAAGGACGTGTTCCAAATTTATAAATGCTTTGTAACTTTTACAATTTGTGTAAAATTTTCATGAACTGTTTAAGGTATAATAACAAAATTTTTAAAATCGTATTTTTGTGTCAGTATACCATGAAAAATGCATAAAATTCCAACAATTTGTCAGTTTTCAAGTTTTTAGAAAAATATATTTTTTGGCCTTTTGTATATTTTGTATTATATGTTCTGTATTGTACTGAATATGCAATAAAAACTTTATTTATTTATTTATTATTTATATTTTTTGTTGAATAAAAAAATGCATTATAACTCTGGGTAAATTAATAATACAGATTTTATATGACACTTCCTTTGTAAGGTGACCAACTTTCGAAAATTAAAAACCAGGACACAGCATGAACCCCCAACGCCCCAAAAAATAGACAAAACTTTTTTATTCAATGTTTATTATCTGTACACGTGTATCTGGTTGTTAAATAAATAAATAAATAAGTTATATAAAAAACAACGTCAATATTAAACAAAATGAGTACAAACCAGGATCAAATCTGAAAAACCAGGACAAAACCAATACACAATTGAAACCAAGACACAGCAAAAACCAGAACCTGTCCTGGGTAAACCAGGACGGTTGGTCACCTTATCCCTTTGCTATATAGGCAACTCGCTAACTTTAGAATCTTGACGTGTAATTAAATTATTTCTGCAAATTTGTTTATATTCACACCTTGTTCTTGTACTTTTATAGAGATATACCTGTCCTTAATACGTTTAACATATTTTTTACAGTGTGTTCATCCACAAGTAGCGTAAGTACAAAATACGACCCTGATCTGCTAAAATCAGATGTCACAATGGCAAAAAATAGAGTATCAAGACTAAAATCAGAACTGGAACAAATAAGGAACGAAATGACTTACACCCAAAGAGGTGTAGATACCCTTGCAAAGTAAGTTTGATATTTCATCATAAATTACTAACATCACTTAATATTTTTTATTATTTAGCGTCGAACAAAAGTTAAAGAAAAACGAGGGCACATACTACAACATAGCTGAGGCGCAAGCCATCATGGCCGAACTCAGAAACATACAAAAATCACTCTCGTCGGGGGAGAAAGAAAAAGCCGAGTTAATGCAATCGCTGGCAAAGTTAAAAGACGATCTGACGCGACTGCAGTTATCGGAAAGCTCGCCAGATGTCTCGACGTTGAGTCTTCCACAAGAAAAACTAAGCACTGCTTCACAAACCGACTTATCCTGCGATTTGGTGCCGATTGGTACGCGATTAGCTGAGATGGCGAAGATGCGGTTGGAGTACGATGAAGCCAGGAAAAAAGTACAAAGTATTCAGCAGAAGTTGGCGGATTTGGAGGAGAAAGTGCAACCTGGACAAGTGGAAAGTGATAAAGATAGATTGTTATTATTCCAGGAGAAGGAACAGCTTCTTAGGGAGTTGAGAAGTATAACCCCTATGATGAGAAGCAAGGAAGAGATGTCCGACATACAAATGGAATGCAAAAGGTTGGAGCAAGACCTCAATAAAGCCTTAGAAATGTCCAATAGGGCCATAGCCGACAGACTTCGCCTTCACGAGGAGAAAAACCTTCTCTTACAACAACTAAAGGATGGTTTAAAACAAATGACGCACTTGGAGTCCCAGCTGAAAACCCTCTCAGCTTCCACCCTCTCCGTTAGCAGCTCGTCAAGCCTAGGCTCCCTCTCCACCACGTCCAGTAAAGGTTCCCTAAGCTCCGGGCTGAGTTTTACGGACATCTACGGAGGTCCGCAGTGCGCCGGACCGGTTAATCTGGAAAAACCCATCGACATGGCCGATTTACACCGCCGTGTTGAAAGATTACTGAAAAGTTCCGATAGTAACACACCCTCTCCCGTAAGAAGTCAGCCATCTTTGTCGCCTAGGAGTTCTCTGAGCAGTGTTTCACCTCCAGTATCTCCCATGTACGAGAATTTACCTTGTATTGGTCCTCCACCCACTTACGAGCAAGTCGAGAGAGATAGAAGGTTAGTCTTAAAATTCTTAAACTGGGGTTTTAAACTGTTTCTCCCAGGCCTTCGAAAAATTGTCTTTTTTTTTAGAAAATATACACATTTTAATAATACCTGCAATCAACAACTTAACATTATTTTAATATAAAAAAAAACCTTTATTACAGAAAAAAACAACGTTAAATATACTGTTATTTGGGTCCTTTTTGCAAAAGTCAATTGAAAATATCCAATTACAAAATAATGAATGATTTATAAAGTTTTTTTTTTATAAATCGGTGTGTCAAGTAAAAAGTTTTCAGAAAAATTTACCTTCATCCATGTATTTTTTTGTATTACCCTATGAATTAAAAATGAAAAAATGCAATTAAATTTTTCTGAAAATTACCAAACTTTTTCCGGAAATTTTAAAACCCTACTTCGAACCAGCGTGACTTTATTTAGTATGCACTGTTAATTTTGTTAAAATTATGTTATAACTTTGGTTATGCATTTTTTACATTTTGTAGCCCATTTTGTCGTTTTTTCATGCTCTGCCACTTTTACAATAATAATACCATCATGAAAAGTGACTTTTACATAGTGGTCGTAGAAAATAGTTATTTGTTTTACAAGTGTTGAAAAGCGACTTTTTCATGCGAGTTTTTAAGTTGCCTACGAGGCCGTTAGGCCGAGTGTGCATTAACACGAGCTTGAAGAAAGCTTTTCTCACAAGTATAACACAATGTTTTTTCTGCGACCCTTTTATATTTTATTATTTTATTATTTTTAAACAAAATAACCTAAAAACTTTTTTGACAGCTGAATGTCAAACGATGATGTCAATTTCTTTTCAAACAGACCTGTCACTTTTCACACAGAAATGTCACTTTACATTCGTGTTTTGCCTTGCCAATGAAAAGATTCATTTTCTAAGCAATGATGCCATCATTTTACATAGTGGTCGTAAAACAATTATTTTGATGAGCCAATTTGAAGGTTAATTTGTGGCTTATGTTCTGTGATTTGTGGGTTATAAAATAACCTTAAATTAACCTTCAAATTGACATTTGACAGCCCTGATAGAATAAGGTTTATTTTTTACAAGAGGAGTAAAATGATTGTTCTTACCACTTTGAGGCTTGCAAGTCTCTCTGTAAGAAACACAACGTTTAAAACGATTATTAATCTGTACAAACTCAAAGCACAAGAATTGTAAACAACAAAAATGGCCGCCATTACATAGTCCGGTCAAATTAGACCAAAAAATAACAGTGAAGGTACATAAATTTACAACAAGCTGAAAATCAGTAAAATTGTTCAGAATATAATTATAAATAAAATTTTAAAGTTCCCCATCATTCCCCTGTATGGAAAATATTTTATTCAAGGTCAAAGGTCAAAAAAATTAGTTTTTCGCGATTTTTATCAAAACGGTAAGTTTAATCATAAAAATACCCCAAACAAAATTGTAGATCATAAAATTATCTATAAAAAATGTATTAAAACTTTTTTCCTACGAGCCACCGTTTCTGAGATATAACGATTCGAAAAGTTGTAAAAGTTGTAATCGTCATAATATGCACGCCACGTATCTCTAGAGTTGTAATATATGTTAAAATATTTTTCTATAGGTCATTTTAACTTACACTTAAAATCTGTCACCTGTCATTTGTCCCTGTCATATGCCACCTTATCGATTTAATTTCGAGGATTTTAATTGGTTAACTTTTTTAAATACCCAACAAAAATTAAACGGGCTTCTGGCCGATTAGTTTTTATTCGATGAAGCTTATCTTTTTGGTCTTTTTCCCGTCGATTCGTGTATTTCGTTCGGCCAATTTCGAAAATTTCTCTCGACCTAAAAAACGTTTAAAATTTTTTTGAAAAAAAATAAAAAAAGAACGCTGTTCGAAAAGTTTGCCGGCGTATCCGGCCCGTTTGCAATATTTATTTTTTCCGTTGTCTGTATATCCTTTTTTTCTAATCGCCGTAGCTCGGAGGCCGTTGAAGGTTGAAATTTGCATCCTTTTTTTCTGCCCACGAGACCTATCCGCGGACCAAATTTTTCCGGTGTCGAAAAGGTCCAAGTTCACTTTTTTCGATTTTTCCGTCAAATTTGGCACGTTCCGTTGTCTTCGCTTAACTTTTGAACGAGCCGAGATTTTTCGTCCAAACTCGAGGAAAAGGGTCTTCGGGACAAGAAGTTATCGGCATTCGATTTCTTCTTTCTATATACGGAGCTCCTAAAAAAACTACCTGCTTTGATAAGTATCGATATGCATATTTCGTTAAAAATTCTAAAAGTAAAAAACAAGTTCAATTAGCTTGTCTTCCTCCAACCTCAGTTGCTGCTCATCAACATCTTTTTCGGGTATATTACCATGTTCAAGTGTGGCTTGGTTATCAGCTAGACCCTACAGACTAGGGTTGGAAGTTGGTCAACAACACATTAGAACCAGTTCAAACTTTACTCCCAACTGCGCCGGAAAATCTGCTGAACACAATTTTTTGCAACTGCAAAAAGGGATGCAGTGCTAAATATGGTTGCAAAAAAGTCGGACTGTTTTATTCTCTGGCATGTACGAATTGTCAAGGCCGGTCGTGCTCTAATGTTGAATCACCAACAGTGGAGGATTCATTTAATTCCAACGAGGTGAGATGCGATACATCGCTATTGACGCAATTTACTTGAACCCAGGATGAAGATGAAGAAGAAGAACAACAAGAAGAAGAACAAGAACAAGAAGAAGATCAAGAAGAACAAGAAAAAAAATTTAAATGTTACGAATCAGACGAATAAACTACATCGCTATTATCTTTTCCAATCATTGCTAATTTCCGTTATTTTGCAATAGTTTCAAATTAAACAGGATCACAAGTGACCCGTGAAATAGGCCTACTGGGGAAACCATGTTTAAAAACGCGCTTAGTAAACTACCTCATAGGTGGCGTGGAAACGTGTGCATATTATGGCGATTATAACTTTTACAACTTTTCGAATCGTTATATCTCAGAAACGGTGGCTTGTAGAAAAAAAGTATTAATACATTTTTTATAGATTATTTTATGATCTACAATTTTTGTCTGGTGGATTTTTATGATAAAACTTACCGTTTTGCTGAAAATCGCGAAAAATAATTTTTTTGACCTTTGACCTTGAATAAAAAATTTTCCATACAGGGGAATGATGGGGAACTTTAAAATTTTATTAATAATTATATTCTGAACAATTTTACTGATTTTCAGCTTGTTGTAAATTTATGTACCTTCGAATGTCTAGATTGACCGGACTAACAGTGATTTTTAGTATTTTTAGTACGAGATCAAACAGACCTTGTTATGTGGATTGTGGGGTATACTAACAAAACTACGCTCTTTCTTTGATCACATTTTAAAAGTCGTATTTTTTGTCGGTATACCCTAAAAACATTTTAACAAAAAACAACATTTTTACTATTTATTTCTTTTTTTTAAGGATAATGTCTGAACAAAAACAAATCGACGACCGCCTGGTGGAACTCCGCCTCAGCAACCCAGCGATAAACGACTACTACTCCACCCCCCGCCTCCAAATACCGGCCCTGTCCCCCCTAACCGACATTTTAGAAGCCCAGGGTAACATGTCGCAAGGTTCCGGCTTGGGCAGGCCGTCGCGTTACTCCTACGAAAGTTCCGGCGACCCCCCCTTATCCCCGATATCGGAAACGCCTCCACCCATACTGGATCACGACGAAATCCTCCAGGGGGCGGCCCTATCGCGAACTTCCTCTTCCGGTACGAACACCAGATCCGTTTCGGCTGCGGTGAGCGACGAATCCGTAGCTGGCGATTCCGGGGTTTTCGAAGCTTCAAACCGGAAGAGGGCTTCCGGAGTTTTCGACGGCGATACCACTCAAGTTCAGATCAAATTGAAGTATGTCCTGAACGAAAATACACTGAATATTGTCATAGAAAGGGCGAGGAATCTAAATGCCTTGCTGATTGCAGAAAATTCTTTCGTGTAAGTCAAATTTTAAAGTGTACCGACAAAATTATGACTCAGAATGTCACCATTAAAAAGAGCGTGGTTTTGTTGGTTACCCAAAATTTTTTATCAACAAGTTACAGAGTTTTAAAGTTTTTACATTTTGTAGCCTGTGTCAAGCATTTTTAAAACCTCTGTAACATTTTTATAAATATTTTAAAATAAAATTTCTGAGGTGAACGAACAAAAACATGATCTTCCCAACTTCATCCACAAAAATATCGTATTTTTATTTAGTATATCCTAAAACCGACATAGAAGTCTTCTAAGATGTTTCTTCTTGTATTACAGATATATTAAGGCAGCCCTTCTTCCGGCCCAGGCTCAACCGCCATCAGTGTGTTGCACGAAAACCGTGAGGGATCTAAAAAAGGCCACTTTCGGCGACGTTTTTAATTTACAAGTACCTGTTAACAAAATTTACACAAAAACTTTGCAAATAAACGTGTGGAGTAAGAGCGAACAACAATCGGACGTCTGTGTGGTAAGTTTTCTATAAATTAAGTTTTTTTGTTAATTTTAGAAAAGTACGCCCAATTTTTTGGCCATATTTTTATTATCGTAATTTGTTGATATACATACGTCGAAATACATCAGTTTTTTAAGATTTTGGCGCCCAACATGTCATAATGTTTTTTAAATGCTATGTTTGTTATGATATTTTCAGGGTATACAAACAAAAGTACGCTCATTCTTTTAATTGCATTTCATTAGTCTTAATTTTATTGTTATGCCCAAAAACGGACCTTTTATTCTCCTAAGGATATTTACAATTTTTAAAACTTGTAAAATGTTTGTTTGATTTAATGAGATTTTCAGGGTATACTAACGAAAGTATACTCTTTCTTTTTCTTCAAAATTTTATAATTTTTAAGTCTGATGGTATGCCCAAAAATTGTTAAAAACTATAACATATATACAGGGTTTTCGCATTTGTGGTCCATTAGAAGACAACTTTGATATTTATATATTATATATTTTTACATTTTTAAATTGTACATACAATTCTGCGTAAAATATCTATATGAGTACCATGTCATATACTTCAAGAGAATAGTTTTCGAGTTTTTAATGTTTTTCTTTAAAATTTCACTTTAGGTATAGAATTTTATGTAGAATTTAAATTTTTTTAAAAATATGTGGTGTTCTATTTGAAATAACAAAGTTAATGTCTCTTCTGGTTAAGCTGGAAGTGGCATTTTGATAAAAATATTTAAGAAAAATGGATTTAAATGGATTATAAATTTCAAATCAATATATTTTTCCGTTTTCCTCACACTTCTAATGGGCCACGAATGGGAAGCACCATGTATATAACTTTGACTTTTACAAATTTTATCGGATTTATATGAAATAGAAAAGTGCGCTTTTTCTTTTGATGACATTTTTATAAGTCGTTAAAATGTTATTGAAAACCTTTTAAAAGGATATTTACAAAAAAATACACTCCATTCAATGATTATTTTATTATTTATTACATATCCTTCTACAAGCCCTAACAACTATATGTTGGAACAAACCTGTAGTTTACAAATAAAACGCTAGTTTACTGAATCAATTTGATTTTAATGTTTTAAGTTGTAGAATTGGAATTAGCAACATTTTAGATGTCATTTTATAACATTTGTAGGAGAAAATTTTCATTATTTTTATGTTCAATAAATGCTGACAACTTAATGTTGGAACAAAACGTTTTAAAGTAAATAAAACAAATATTAATAAGGCTTAACGTCGCCCAAATCCCAAATTTCTTGTAATTTGGTACGCAATTGTGGTATGGTTTGTTGTGGATTATTTCTCAGATGTTGCTTCAACTTGTGCCACAGTGTCTCTATCAGGCTGCTGGAAGAATGTGACAAAACCTTGATAATTTTTTTCCCCAAACCATGGTTTTTCTTTAACCTGTAAATTAAAATATATAAAATTTGCGCGATAAATACATATTAACTATACTGTATAAAAACTGAGACCACCTTGGTGGATATATTTACGGCAGCTTTCTCGAGAAACGTTCATTCCAGAGTCTGGAAATTCCAGACTGGAATCCAGACTCTATTAACCCTTGCAGTCGCTTCCCGCAGCGTGTTTCTTCTTCCTGACTTGCATATTTAAATCAAATATCTTGCGCTTCTTTGAGAAACAATTTTGGGACGATCTGAACTTTTACCACTAATATTAATATTCCCGGTTTCACCATATTTTGATATGATTATGATATTAAACACAGTAGTCGTTGCTATCGCAAATTCAGTAAAAAATTTACGCATTGTTTTGCCTTTATGGTATTGACTAATAATAATAATTTCGCGTACTTTTCGATCGGTAGGCTTCCCGCGTGTCATTTTTGCTATGTAATTGAACCAAAATTGTAATTGACAGTATTTAATTAAATTGAAGGGGTCAATGTAAGAAGTGCCTAAGTCAAATTTTCAATTAAATTTACATTGTGGCTTCTTCTAAGAGTGTTTCACGTAAGGTTTCAGGTGGCAGAAATATGTGCCCAAGTGCCTTAGTTTGCATTTACTTCAATGGGAGTTTGCCTGGTTTTCAACTTTCGTAAAAACTCTTAGATGAAGCCACAATAACAATTTAATTGAAAATTTGACTTAGGCACTTCTTGCATTGACCCCTTCATTTGGTGAGTTGATAAAAGCTTTGCTGTCATAGCAACCATATTTTGTTTCAAAGCCATTGATATAAAAGTGAAGAAACTATAGAGAAAAGAGAATATGTGTTAATAGTTATTTACGATATAAGTGGGATAAGAGCTTTATTAACGTACGCATGCGAAATTTGCCAATCGCAAAAGTACGTTAATAAAGCGTTATCAGTGATAACTTATCACACGTATATTGTACAAATTTTTATGTACGCCTCTAAATGAAAAAATAAACGGTAATTATTTTTGTCTAAGACTTAATTTAGGGTTATTTTGACATTTTGACTTTTTTATTTGATTGGTTAAAAACAGAGAAAAACGCGTGCGTTAATGAACTCACTCAAAATGAGTGGGATAAGAAGTTCTTATCTCACTGGCGTAGATAAATCAATTTATTGCCAGCGATTTTGAACATGAAACATTAAATAAATTCTAATAAAAGAATATTAAAAATATTACCACACAAATATTATCAAATGAAATTTAAAATGCTGCCAATGCTAATTTTTCAATTAAAAAAAATTATAATCAAATTCATTTAGTAAACTAGCATTTTATTTGCAAAATAAATACTTGTTCCAAGTTGTTAGGGTATGTGTATACTTTAATGGGTATTTTTTTGTTATTTGAAGAGCTACAAGTCGGTTTAATTATAGAAAAGCTTATTAAAATTAAATTAAATTGAAAAAAATTCAGCGGTTCTCAAAATATTTGAAAAAACTAAATCCTTATAAAACTAAAAATCGTTATAACTTCGTTATTCCTGGGAATTTTGACATAAAGTAAGTTTTACATGTTAACGTACGCATTAACCAAAATTCTAATATGGCGGCCATAGAAAAAACAAAAGATGGTGGTGGTAACTCAGTATCTATAGTAGGCGAAAAAAATCACAAATTGTATAAAAATGTAGATAAATGTGTATGTTTACATATAAAAGTCACTTAATTTTAAAATTCATAGGAAGAACAATTTTTGGTTTTAAAAGGTTTTTTTTCTTCAAATTATTTGAGAACCGTTGATTTTTTTTCCAATTTTTAAATGCCATTTTAATAGTTTTGTATACAATTATAATTACGCAACTGTTCTGTAATTTAAATGACCCTGTAGCTCTTTAAATAAAAAAGATAAAATGATACTTGCTACACTTAACCCTTCTTGTATTTAATAAATGTAAAAAATTCGACGTTTTCTCGTAGGGTTGTGCACAAGTCAGTCTGGCAGACTTTAATATACAGAGCGTATCGCAAAAATGGTACAACATCCTCTGTCTACAAGAAGAATCCATTACAGCACATACGAAACAAGAATCGGACGTGTCGGTAACACGCGACAACAAAAATGATGGGGAGTTTTCTTCGTCGTACAAACTGAAAGAAGAGAGTTCCGATGATAGCACGATAATTTCCTCACAAACCAGCACCTTGACAAGAAACCAAGATTCCGTGATACAATCGGCGATTATTTTCGATGAGTTGGCGAATTGTTTGAGGCACACTGAGAATTTCAGTGAGGAGGAATCAGATGATGATGAGGATATTGAGGTGAGTGATGAGTGTGAGGAGACTAGGCTAGAGGTCGTTTTGGAACATGAAGATTTGGAGGATAAATATTCAGATAAACAGACTAACACTGAATGTGCTTTTTATCCTGAGCATGCTAAACAGATGAAGTTAGCAGCTGCTGGTATCACAGATGATAAAGGCGTGATAAAGCGATCACAAACGTTCTCTCCGAGTGCGCAGGTGACCAAAAACCAGTACATCTGCAAGCTAAACCGAAGCGATAGTGACAGCGCGATGCCTTTGTACAGGAGATGCCACAAACCCTTCGAAAGACACGCTTTCGAAAGGCGCTCGCTTCGTTTCAGACGTCAAAGCGGTTCAGTATCGCACCTATCGGCAAGCAAATCGCAAACGCACCTGCCCGCAACGGCCAGGACTTCCCTGGACTTGGAACTGGACCTCCAAGCTCAACATACACGTTTGGACTTGCTCACCTCCGAGGTGCACCGCTTGAGGGCGCTCAAAGACCGGTTGGAGCAGGCTAAACAGCAGGGGGATGCCGATTTCGCTGCTTGTTTGTTGGAGGACAGGCAGTTTCAGAACTTGATGGCGCAAGCTGAGACCTGCAAGTCCAACAGAACGCAGGAGGAGAGGAAGGTGGAGAAGATGTTGAGGAAAGTTTCAAAGGAGATTTATAAGCTGCGTAAAACTAAGGCTGGGAATGGGAAACCTGATGTTATTTCTTTCAAGTAAGTCTACTTTATTATTGTAATTTTTTTTTACTTTTATTGCGTCAACTAAAACGATTTTCAGATTTTAACGTCAATTTTTTAATTTGACCCAAGACAAATTTTATCAGATTTTAATAAAATTTTCAAATTTTCTTTATAACTTCTTTGTAAGAATTTTTGTTTAATATTGATGAAAATTTAAGGTTTTACTAACAAAAGTACGTTCTTTCTTTTGGTCTCAATTTCAGGGCTCCTAAACCTCATAAAACTCATAAAATTCCTAAAAATCTAAAAATTAAATATAAATAGGCCAACCTTTAAGGTTAAGGTAGTTTTAGTGCTAAAAATTTCTTTTTAAAAAAGTAATTTAAAAATATATATTTTTATGTTCCAGTTTATTAAACTTTTTTAACTGATATAATACACATCCAACATTTTTATTAAAAAACAACAAAATATACTTAAAAACAATATCCAAGTAATAGCTCCGAAACTACCACAAAATTGTAATTTTTAGCCATATTTCGTTTGTTTTAGTCAAAAATGTACCGTGTATATCAAACAAAAGGATTTTTAATTTCCTTTTAAATGACAGCTAAAATAGTAAACAATCTAAAGAATGCTTTGCTGTATTTCGCAAACCATATTTTTTCTATAATGTAATTTTTGTGAATTAAGATCCACATTACAATTATTGTTAGTTATTAACTAAACGGTGAACATTTGATTTTAGCCTAGTTTTTTAGCGTGGTGAAATTTCTACTTGTGTATACATGTATCAGATATACAGGGTGGCCGATTTATCTGAAGACATTGAAATATTTCGAAAACTATGCATCGGATCAAAAAAAGTTTTGAATAAAATTTGTTCGCCTGGAAGGGGGACATCCAATGATACCAAAGTCGACCCCTCACCACCACCCCATGGGGTGGGGGTGGGGGCAACTTTAATATTCTAAATAGGAACCCCCATTTTTTATTGCAGATTCGGATTTACTATTAAAAAATAAGTAACTTTTATGGAAAAACTTTTTTTTAAATTCCTGATAGATGGCGCTGTAATCGCGATTTTTGGGAATATCTTGAAAAATTGCAGATTCGGATTTCCCATTAAAAAATATAATTAGTGTATACGAGAATTGTAAGGGAATTCAAAATAAATTAAATTAATTAATTCCTTTTGATGTTCCCATGTTCCCATGGCCATGGGGTGGGGGGTGGGGGCAACTTTAATATTCTAAATAGGAACCCCCATTTTTTATTGCAGATTCGGATTTACTATTAAAAAATAAGTAACTTTTATGGAAAAACTTTTTTTAAATTCCTGATAGATGGCGCTGTAATCGCAATTTTTGGGAATATCTTGAAAAATTGCAGATTCGGATTTCCCATTCTTGGGTAATTTTAAAAATAGATGTTAACTTATTGATATACGAATAAAATCCAAAAATTAAACAAGTTTTTCTTTTTTTCGATCCGATGTGTAATTTTTTAAGATATTCCCAAAAATCGGGTTTCTTGCGATTACAGCGCCATCTATCAGGAATTTAAAAAAAGTTTTTCCATAAAAGTTACTTATTTTTTAATAGTAAATCCGAATCTGCAATAAAAAATGGGGGTTCCTATTTAGAATATTAAAGTTGCCCCCACCCCCACCCCATGGGGTGGTGGTGAGGGGTCGACTTTGGTATCATTGGATGTCCCCCTTCCAGGCGAACAAATTTTATTCAAAACTTTTTTTGATCCGATGCGTAGTTTTCGAAATATTTCAATGTCTTCAGATAAATCGGCCACCCTGTATACAAAAGTAGTAATTTTACCTCAGGGCCATTTCAGGCATGCGGACGGGACAAATCACAAAACCAAAAAAAAATGCTAGGTAATTTATTATATAATATTTTTGCATCAAAATTGTCAAACATATTCTTATTTTATTAGGCTTTACATTAAATAAAAAAACGCAAGAAATATTTTATTAAAGATAATTTTAATATATCTGCCCCAAAAAACTTACATACTGCAATACGCCGATGACACAGCCTTAATAGCCCACAACAAATCCATTTCAACAGCTCTCAATAACCTGCAATCGTCAATTAACATGATCTCTAATTGGTTTGCAAGTTAACGCCAGGAAATCTCAATTTATTATTTTTAATCACAAAAAGATGACTCGCCACAAATCTAAATAGAAAACCAACATATATTCCCCACGAACAGTATTAAATATCTTGGAATGATTATTGACTCCAAACTTAAATTTAATTGCCACACTGGAACCATTAAACAAAAGGTCATTATTAGAGCAAAACATTTCAAATCTCTAACCTTTAAGAAGCAAGGTATAATCATCAAAACAGCCACCACCATATAAAAAATGATCTATCAGCCACTGTTGGAGTACGGTTCCATAATATTTCAAACCTGCAGAAGACCTTCCCTAATAAACCTGGAGACTGCAGAAACAACAAGCCTTCAGCATCTAACCAAAATTAGACAACCCCTCAAATCTGTTTTTGTATGAAAGAACCAACATGACACCCATTATACAAGTACATCCTTGAAATAATGGAACCCTTTCCAGTGAAATCCCTGCGGAAAATTATTTTGGTAGATTAATATCAATAATAATTTTTTTTAAGATAATTAAGTTTATATACCTAGTTTATAATTATATCAAATATTTTGTAAAATAAAATTGTATTTATATAGGCAGAAAGACTTCAGTTGATAGCCTTTTGGTTTTTATATATATTTACTACTACTTTTAATAATTGACAGGTGTGGACGGGACAAGATAAATATTTTTTGTCCCCTCCACATCTTTCAATTATTACAATTATCTCTACTTTTATAAAATATTTCTTGCGTTTTTTTAATGTACAGCCTAATAAAAGATTATTTTTGAAAATTTTGATGCCAAAATATTATATAATAAATTATCTACAATTTTTTTTATAAAAACAATTTTGTAATTCGTGCGTTTCGCGGAGCTGAAATGGCCCCTCACTTTTAATTTTATTAAAAAAAACTCGTCGAGCGATTTGGCTAAAAAACTAGTCAATGTAACTTATTTGTACAAAAAAAGTGATATTTATTTATTTTTTTGTTAAAAAGAATTTATTATTATTTTTTAAGTAGTGTAGAGTTGTTTTTATTTAATTACAGAAATTCATTTGCATACTTTATTTCTCCTAAAATATAACAAAAAACCTCCTAAATTCCTAAATAAAATTTGTAATTTAGCCATGGGAGCCCTGCAATTTTAAATAGTAATTTTGCCGGTATACCTTAAAAAATCCAATTCATGCTCGATTTCCTAACAAGCTTTCTTATTGTTTCAGAGAGAAAATGGCATTTTTCACGCGAGTTTCTTCGAATGTACCTTTCTTGCAAACTGAACAGCATTGTCAGCATCAGCAAGAGGAACCTTCAAAGAGATTGCACGAACTAGAAATTTTGCCTACAAGCAGCACGGAAGATTGTACAAATTGTGATAGTAGTAAGGTTAAGGTTAGGGTGAACAATAACAATAAAAATGACGACAAAGATTTATCTTCGAACAATAGTAGGTATGATTATGTTGTGGATAGGGTACTGGGTGTTGAGGTTTAGATCAGGGCTCTTACAGAATTTGAAATTTCAACGTTTTTTTCTTGGTTTTATTGCATTTATTTTACGTCTAGTCATAATAACAAAATAGCCTATTTTTTAACAAAAAAATATTTAGACAATTTATTTATTTTATTAAAGCGTTCTGTAAGAGTCGTTTATATATTTATTAAAATACTCGTTCATATAGGTATGCTTTTTGACTTTTTTTAATTATTATTATTATTGTAAACTTGACTGTGACCATATATTAAACTTTTAAGTGCAGTATTTTTTCTTAAAAGTGTAATTATTTTTATGATAGAATTAACAAACTAAAGTGCTATAAAAAATTATGTGATTTTGTGCCTTTGTAGATCTGATATTTTTGTAAAATACTCAAAAGTATTTGATCTGATGTCTTCATTTTAAAACTACATAAATCTAGTACAATCTTTTTTAAATTTTGTTACCATATCCTTCTTCCCCTTTTTGCTGTGTAATTATTTCATTAACTGTAAAAAGTTTTATCGGTTTTTATATAAAAAGCTTTATATAACTGTAATCTACGTTTTTTTGTAAGTCTCAACTATATTAGTTGAGCTATACTTGTTGTTAGTATCCAATATAAAAAAGTGATTTTTTACTTGTATATTATGTAAATAGTTAAATTCTTTATATATATATAGTATTAGATATATTGTAAAATACAAAATGGTATGTTTTACAAAAACATAGATACATTCTAAACTCAAATACACTATATATGGTTCTAATAAAATATTTAATTAAAAATTTACTTGTTTTATTTTATAACACTGAAATGTCCTAAGAATAAAAATCCTTGGTTAAAAACTACTGAAAATGGTTAAAAATAGAAGTTTCTTCTATTTTGACATTTTGGCGCCCAAAGTTACAATTTTTGAAAATTTAACCAATTTTAGGATATACTTGCAAAAGTTTACTATTGACAAAATTTTTATTAGGTGTATCCAAAAATTGTCTTTAAAAACAGACCTTTTATGAGGATATTTCAGGGGTCTAAAATCAAAAAGCATTTCATCGCGTTTACCAAAATTTTCGTAAAAATACGAGTCCACTTGAAATGGTTGAGTAAAAATATAATAATACCTACCTTATATAATTTTCCAAATTACTTTTATAATAAAAGTTTTTTTAAAGGGAATATATTTCCTAATTAGTTAACTAGTTAAAAAGCGTGTTTTTTCATTTCTGAAAATATTACTCAAATGGAGTTTGCTGTGATTATTATTTGTAAACTTTTTTTAAATACTTACAATTTTTGTTTGATTTTAATAAAAATTTTTGGGCGCTTTCTTTTTGCTTAAGTTCAGTCCCGAGTGACGTCATAATTTTAAGATTTGTTATGTTACGATAAAACTAAAGCAAACCAACCAACCCAACACTTTTTAAAAATGGAACAACAAATTTATAAAATAAAAAAAGTTCGATTAGTTCTAGTAGTATCGAACCAGGTACCTCTCACATGCAAAGCGACCGCCCTACCATTTGAGCCATCCAGCTTAACATTAATTTTATAACGCTCGGGGAATAAGAACGGATTTACAGTGTGTGACGTCAGTCGGTATCGAACTTAAGTCCCGCCTCAGGACGGGAGACACTTCGCTTTCTTTGACATTTTAAGTGGTAGTTATGGCGGTTTGTTTAAAAAATGTCATCCAAAACTGACTTTTATAAGGAAATTTTCATCCAAATAGTATACGCTTTTTATTTTGGTCATATTTTTTTTGGTATTCCCTGACACGTTGCTATTTTGACATTTTGACGTACAACGTAATTTTTTTAAATTTGGTTCGAACTACTACAAATTTTATAGAATGTTGAACCTTCAGAAAAAAGAACTTTCTTCTAAGTATGGACCACATACAGGAAAATTCTCCATCTTAATTTTTATTCGATTTCAATGAAATAAAATACGGTACCTATACAAACAAAACCCTTTTAAATGGTTTGTAACTTAAAATTTTTGTTTAATGTTAATAAACATTTTGGGGTTTCCATTAAAATAAGGCTTTTTTGTTAGGTCACTACAAATACTAAACAATTTTAATTGACCATGGTTAATAAAACACTGATGGAGATGAATAATTTATTTGAATCGTAACAAAGAGTATTGATGCAATATTAAAATTTATTAAAAATATCGAGATTCATCAAAATTACACATATTAAACAATAATAAGATGGGGGGTTGGGGAATAAAGGGTACATAGGTTACATTACAATTAATAATAACAGTGTCAAAAAACTATCTGCTAGATAAGAAGAAATATGTAAAAATAAATAAGCATGAAACATACTTACAACAAAAATTAAAAAACCAAACGTTTCTATTGGTACTATTCATCTTAGAAATAGTAAAAATAGAAACTATACAGTTAATGTACAAATAATTGATCATACAATAACTGACCCCAATAATTAATCAATTAATTCATTATTTACAGAAAAAACATATTTGAGCATTATTTTACAAAAGAATCATTATTTTGTACGGCTAAAGATTACAAATGTATGTGGATTCGTGTTATTTTTATAAGAGTACAAATTACAATAGTAAAAAAACTACATCTAGTAGTACACAGTTACATAGCAAATAATAACATCGTTTGTGCTTTCTAAATATTGTTAATTAAGGGTCACTTTACTTTTAACATATGCATTTTGTTATTAAAAAAAATTGTGTGAAAACAGAATTTCGATAGCTTTTACCGTTTCCGAGAAATTTAGTAATATCCTAAATAAGAAGAATGGTGAATGCTATCGAAATGTTTTAAATATCAAAATGAACATTTAAAAACACTTTAAGTAACCCTTTTTCTTATGAGTACTCTTTAGCATTACAAATTTATTATTATATCGAATAGAAATAGGTATGAGTGTAATCACCTAAATTTTATTTAGGCCCATCTAATTCGTACACTTTTTATTGCGAGACTAATAATAATAATTTTTTGTGTGGGTATCATATAGGTAATTATTTTACTACATTCACAGTGACTTGAATAAAACTTTTTTCACGGTGAGTTATTGCACAGTTTGTAAAACAATATATAAACAAAATTAAACTCACGATACACAACATTTAATTTAAATTTTAAAAATATAATTTTCTTGGCAGGATGAATTTGTGAATAAAATTTCAAGTTATAATGGTGACGGAATTGATCTAAATATTAATGCACTTAGAGATTTGTTTGAGGGGAAAACCTGGTTTAAATTTAAACCCCTCTTAAAATATAACTATAATTTGCAGCTATATGTAGCAATTTAAATTTTATGTATTTAATACTGGTTTTTTTATAGGAACTAGGTGAATATTAATAACAAACACTATTGTTAGACTATTGATATTCTGGAAAAAATGGGACCAAAAACTTATTTATTGTGATAAAAACTGCAAATTATAAAATTGTCAGTCTTGAATAAAAAAAATAAAAAAATAATTTTGACCCCATTTTTAGCGTGTTTATTTTATGTGTATAAGAAGTAGAAGAGTATTCCCTATGGGTTTATAATAATAAGTCTTTTTCCACGCGAAATATCATTATTAATTACTATTAATTAATAAGTTTTCCTTACGGAGTATATTACAAATACTATTCAATAGCCCGGTCTTTTCAGGTTTTATTTAATAAAATTTCCGGGTATACCGAAAAAATTGTCGAAGTTATAGAGCGTTAAAAAATTTGTTTTAATGTTTTAATTGAAACTTTTAGTCTAAAAGTTTTAGGGTACTAACAATTACGCTTTTTACTTTTCTCAGTATACCCTAGAAATTTCAACAAAATTCGATAATTTTTATAGAAAAATTTCCACTTTGGGCAAGAAACGTAAAAATTGTAACTTGTTTATTTATTAACCGTTTTCAATGATTTTTTTAGGGTATACGTAAAAAAATTTTACGTTGCAGTCTTGGGCGTCCAAACGTCAAAATCAAAACTTATTTTTCAATCGATTTGTATGATTTTTTGTTAAAAAACACGTAAATAAAACCTGAAATTACTGAACCACCGAATCATTATGACTTAAAACCTAATAATCAATTAATTAAAAAAAATCACTGACTGTGTAGTCTACCTTGTTTTAATTTAGGGGCGGGCGCGCTTACGCCGCCATCTTTTGGCACCGCACCGATAATCCGCACGCGCGCCACCTGGCGGCTGTCGCAGAATTGCGGCGGCGGCGCCAGAACCGCCTCTGGGGCGGCTGGGGCGGCGGATTCCGCCCGCGACGAATTACCGCCCCCGAATTCGGGCGGAGGCGGCAGACAAAATTCAGAATTTTCGTCGGTGTCGTTTTCCAGGGGCGGCGGCAGCTGCGCCAAGGATACCGCTTGGCGCGAAAGCAAACCTAAGAAGAAAAAAATAAATTGTTTATAACTTTTTAATTGATTATTATTTTATTCATATTCAATTGCATTTTAAAGAGTGTCTTTATGGTGTAGGGCTTCCCAAAAGCTATGACTTATGAAGGAGGGCAGAAAAAAAATTTAAAATTTGGGGATCACTTTAGGATGATAAAAACTACATTTTTAGATAGTTTAGATCTTTAAAATAAGGTGAAACTCGACAGGAGTTGATATTTAAAATGTTAGGGTGGTCATCCCCTAAAAAACTCAAACACGTTGCATGGAAGTTCTACACTATCTAAGAATGAAGTTTTTATGATCCTAGTGATCCCCAAATTTTCAATTTAAATTTTTTAAAAAGTTATAACTATATACATATGGGTCATTCTTACAATAGGGGAAATTTTATGTCCCTGACTTGCCATGCTCAGTCAAGTGCATGTTCACCATTTTTTATTTTATATTTATTTAGGGGTTTATTGACCCTATTCATACACCTATTAACTTAATAATAAAATAAAACCAATTCGATACATTTTTCCTTTAATTACATAAATTGTCATTAGCGTGGATGTCCCTGGATATCCTTTCACCAGAATATTTTTTTTTTTGCAAATTAAGAAACTGTCCATAAATACTCTAGCAATAGTATATTATAGACAACACTAAGATAAGATATGTTAAGCGGGATTGAGACAAAAAAATAAAATTGAATTGAAAAAAAAAACATTTCTTAAATGTGTCCCTGAGTTTGACATCATTAGCGTGGATTATAATGATACGTATTTAAAATTCCCGCCTACTTTAAATTTTCCAGTTAGCGACCGTTATTATAAACATTTTGGTATACGCTATTTACTTGATTTGGCGCCAAACGCGAACAGTTGCACAGTGAACTATGAAGTGTGAAGTTGTTATGTGTTTCATGGGCGTATGTTTATAGTGCATCATTGGAGTGCTAGTGACAATTTTGTTTATCTAAAAGCTATTAGAAAAATATTGACAATAATTAATGAGCAGTGACAACTACAAAAGGTATGCATAATTTAAATTAAATTCATTAATCCATTTGCTGTCCAAAGAACCTTAACCTTAATTTTGTCATTGGCGTGGATATTTACTTGCATCATTGGCGTGGACTTTTTTGTCCACGCTAATGACGGACTATCCACGCCAATGATATTTTGTACGAATAATGATAATAAGATATTTTTATCTAAACTCGGCAGTAAAGTAGTCAACAATCGACAGTAAAGTAAAAGAAATCGGCAGTAAAGTAGAACTTTAGTACCGATTTAATACGAGCATTGTATGCAAACCATTACTGCTCCTTACTGCTCCATAGCAGCAACTAAACTACATTCAAATGACATTCGATTCAAATTTTAATGCAGAAGGTGTCTACTGTTTAAAAAGGTAAATAATTTATAATTATTAAATGCGATTTCGGATAAAATTTAATATCGTTACCCTAATTCGCAAAAGACGTAAGTACACTTTTGAAAAACCGGGTTTTAGTGCCATCTCCTGTTCATGAACCTGCAGGTTTAATATCTACATAAACATTTACAATGGGTAGCTGCAATTTACAGAGACATGGTATCCACAGTGATGTAACGTATCGAGATACATGTATCTGGATACTGGATCTAGATCCATTTTATGTACCTAAATACGTATCGAGATACTTAAAAAAATCAGGATCTACTTTAATATCTAGATCCTTTTGAAAGTATCTAGATCCTTAGATACAAGATACATTTTATTTTACCCAACCCGATTGCAACCCCACACGGAACATCCAATGCATTTACTCTATAAATATCCAGGATATACATAGGATATCCTGGATATCCATTGGACATCCAGTAGATTAACTTGCTTTATAAATATCTATTGCGTTATAAGGTCCAAACAATTTTTTTCTTTGTCATTTAATTTTTAAGTTTTTAGGTAACAAAAGTATCTGGAAGTAACTTAGATACTTTTTGAATGTATCTGTATCTGTACCCAGATACTTTTGGGAAAATGTATCGGTATCTGTACCCAGATACATCTGCCAAAGAGTATTTGTATCTGTACCTAGATACTGAAAAAATGTATCGGTTACATCACTGGGTATCCAGGTATGTCTCCTTTTTTTATTAATATCGAGCACTGAGGTAAATTATTTTTAGGAATAATTGAGGATATAAATGGAGAAAACATAACTATTACCTTTATGGCAAGAAGTGGTAAATATTTTTATTGGCCTGGATCAACTGATCGACAAATCTTTACAGAAGCTGGTATATTATGTAAACTTGATTTGCCACCACAGCCAATTTCAAATAGATTTTTTAAAGTACCAAACTCCGAGGAAATTGATAAAATATGCTTAATTCATTAATTTTTTTTGTAACCAATGTTTACTTTTAAATAAATATTAAAAATATATTTTGTATCATTATTAAATGAAAACAGTCATTAGCGTGCCTCTTAGTCATTGGCGTGGATATGGATTTTTGAAAAAAGCCCCAAAATTAAAAATTGAGCTCAACAGACTCATCATTTCATAAACTTTATTCATTTCTTATAAAACAGTAGTTTTTCAAAATTTTCTGTAACTGTTTTTTTTTTTAATTTCTTATACTCAAGATTGCTCCTATTATAAGAATATCCCATATATATAGCTCCATCCTGGGACTTTTGGGAAGCCCTGTATATGTGAAATTTAGAGAAATCCTTTAACTAAAATTACATATAATATCAAATTTCACATACAAATCTTGCGGAATCGATTAAAAACTGTGAAATATTAAGAAAGCTTGTGAAATTAGATTTAAAAAAAAGGGATGGGAATCGGAAAGTTTTCATTTTGGAAAGTTTCCAATCGGGAATTTATTTTCATTTTGAAAGTTTCTTTTAAAGTTGCAGAAAACAGTATACAAGCACTAATAACTGCAGCAGTGACCCATTAATAATGGAGACTGGCGTACCTCAGGGATCAGTTTTGTAACTATTATATATAGAAAGCTTAACAAAAGCTGGTTTACAAGGAGAACACTACATGTTTGCAGATGATACAGCACTCTTGTACTATCATGAGCCCTTGCGGCCTTGAGTTTACGGTGAATTCACCGTGAATTCACCGTTTGCGTGAATTCACCGTGAATACACCGTTTATGTGCAGTGAATATACCGTCCATTTGTGACATTTGTAGACGGTAATTAAACGGTGAACTCACGCTGTTTTTGCGATAAATTCACGGTGATTTCACGGTTAATTCACGGTGATTTCACGGTGAACTCAAATTTGCAAAATCACCGCAAATTCACTGTCAAAGTACCGTAAATTTATCGTGAAATCACCGTAAAAGCGCTGTGAGTTTACTGTGAAAACACCGTAAATTGACTGTGAAAACACCGCAAATTCACGGTAATCTTAAGGTTGCAAGTACCACGTGGTAATGTAAATAATAAATTATTTTAATTGTTTGTAAATGGTTGTTTACTTTTTAATAAATAGTAATTTTGTTGCTAATAGACGGTATTAATAATTAAATAAAAAATTAATAATAAATATTAAGATTTTTTTATTTATAAACATTATTAAATAAATAATTTGTTTATACTTAAATATTGATGAAGCGCATTTATTTTACAAAAACTAAATTCACAAGTTCAACAGTAAAATTTAAAGGGTTTATAAATTTACCTGCCTACTTAAACATTATATTGTTATTCTGGATGTTATAAACTACCAGTACATATTTAATAAACGACGACATGAAAAGCCAAGTCCGTAGTGGTTTCATCGGCCTTGAGTTCACGGTTTATTCACGGTGAATTCACCGTGAATTCACTGTGAATAAACCGTCTGTGAAAAGTGCGTGAATTCACCGTCTAACTACCGTTTACAAATGTCAAATTTACGGTGAATTCACAGTGAATAAACCGTGAACTCAAGGCCGCAAGGGAGGATATGAAAACAATGGAAAATATCATTAATGAAGACCTAAAAAGGTTCCATAATTGGCTTTGTTCAAATGGATTAATAGTGAATGAAATAAAAGGTTCCATAATTGGCTTTGTTCAAATGGATTAATAGTGAATGAAATAAAAACTGTATATATGCTGTTTAGCTTAAAAAGCTACCAAAAAGTGAATCTTAAAATAAACAATGTACCCATTTAAAAGGTGACTTTCTATAAATACCTTGGATTAACAATTGATCAAAACTTGACTTTGAATGAACATATTGGCGAAACAAACTTAGTGGCTTAGTTGGTGCGCTTAGGCGTGTAAATGAATATTTGACGGAGAGTTGCAGATTCCTTATATAACTAATATATTGAGTCAGTCTTAAGTTATCTCATAGCAATATGGTCAAATACATCCCAACGAAATCTAAACCGAATGCAAATTCTTAATCTACCGTTTGATACACCAACTAAAGACCTTTATAAAATAATTACGGTAATGAATATTAAATAGTTAATTAGTTTCAAATTGTGCAAATTAGTATATAGGATAAATAACAAAGACATTAAAACAAGTGCAAGTTTGACTATAAACTCGGATTTTCACAACTATGAAACTAGAGGAGCACAAAACATCAGAACAGACAGAGTTCATATTTTATTAGTCAGAACAGCAATACTATTTTTAGTATCTTTTACTTTTCAATATTCCCAAAAAAAAATTCGGAAACTTTCGGAAAGTTTCTGGAATTTTCGATGGAAAGTTTCCGGGAATTTTCGTCAAATGGGAAATTTCCTTTCTCTATAAAAAAATCTAACCACCCTGGTAAACTTAAACTCACCAACTTGCTGTCGCTGGTTTTTCATTGAATGTTCTTGTATCGTATTGTGTATTCTTTCAGAGTATTCGCTATTGATACTTCCGGTTATTTCCTGGTCGGAACTGACGCCGGAAGAGCTGTTATCGCCGTCCTCCAAAATGGCCCCGGATTCTTTTTGTTTTTTGAGGAAATCGTCCGGGTAAGATTTTGAGGACCTAAGGCGGGATCTGCCTTTTTGTATTTCATCCACGCTGAAGCTAGGCGGTACTGAGCTGCTTCCGGAACTGCTACCACTACAAAACAAGAAAAATGTAAAATATAGGATGCTTTAAAAACTTCGAAAATGTATACCTGGTATTGCTGTTTCCGCTATTCTCCACCGGAAGTAGCTGCACGCTCGATAATCTTGTGGCTAGGCTGTGTATGTCTTTATCGCTGTCGTTTTCTGATTCGCTGCAGCTGTAGTCAGGTTCTGGGATGGTGGGGGTTGAAGATTTGCTTAGTTCAGCTACGTTTGAAGCTGATTTGCTGCAAGGTATCTTTTTCCTTCTATCTCTGACACCAGCTGAGGAATTTGATCTGGTGGGCCTAAATGGTTGAGCATATGTGGTATTTTTAGGCTGAGGTGTCGAATTATTGGTAGGTTTGAAATTGCTAGCCGACCTCATACTTTGAGTTTTTCTCACTAAAGCTTTTGCATTTGCTTGCTGGTTCGCATGATTCTTTGATCTGTAACTGTAAAGTGTAAAGATATCAAAATAAAAAAAATTCAAGAGATTCTTGTAAAATGTACTCACACAACATTTTTTATATCATCAGGGGAAGCGTAGAGCTTAGCGTTAGCGCTAGGCCTGAAAGAAGACACCACACCTTTACCATCCATAGACTCGAAATTCAAGTGATCATAATCTGAGCTGGAATTCCTCGACACTTTGATCACTTGAATCTGCTGCGGGGGCGGAGGAGGCGGGTGATTGGGGGGCGGTAAATTCCTGTTGTTGCCATTGCCCAACTGTACGGCGATGTCTTCTATGGATCTGTAATATTTGTTGTGTGTTGGGGCTGGAACGCGGATTTGTTCTTCTTGCGCAAGATCGGGCGTGCTGTGGAAGTCGCGGCGCAGTTGGCGGCCGCCGAAGAGGGAGGAAAAGTGCTTGGATTTCTAAGAAATAAAGAAAAAGGTTTGGGTTGAAGTTTAAGACCTTAACCATTACACAGTTCAACACGATTTTCCTCCCATGAAAAATTTTAACAGATTTTAAAAATAAAGGTTAAAAAATTATTTTAACTTATACAGATTTTTAATTCTCTTTTTTGTTAAAAATCCTTTTTTTTTTTCAAATATTGTATGTTTTACATTATACAAAAATTATACTTTTAAATTAAAAAAAATAATTTTTGTTTTTAATTTTTGATTTTTTTAAATAAAACAACAGAATAATACAAATTTGTATTTATCTTACATATATTTTTTTCGATAAAAATTTGAGAAATGCACGTCAATCAAAAATAGCCTATAACTTTTTTGCTATTCGGTTTGCGGATATGGATATGAAAACATTTCATGTTTTTAACAAATTACCCGAGGGCAAATTGGGCTAACTTGAAACGTTAATAACTTTTTTATTTTAACACCTGGTATGTTTTTACCCAATCAAATAGCAAATTAAAAAATCTCGATTAATGTAACTATTCCCTATACCTGATATTTAACAATTTCTAAAATTTTAAATTATCAATTATCTTAAGAAAGCTGTGACGGACGAGTTGAGTTTATATGTGGTTACCACGTAATCTCATTGTTCAAAATTTGGTGGCGTTAATTTTTCAGGTTGTTATAAACAATTTGTTGACTAACTAATTAAGTGTTTGGTAAACAAAATTACTAATAAAAAGCAGTCAGTGTATTATAAAAAACATTGTCAAGCCAAACATTTTTAAAATTTTAAAGTAATTCAAACAGTAGGTATTTGCTAAATTTGAAAAAAAAAATCAACAAAGCTGTAGGATGTCAACTAGATGATCACTACCACTTAGACAATAAAATATAAAATTTATTTTATGAAATATTTTAATAACAAAAAGAATGAATAAAAATACAAAAAATAAAGAATTTAATAAACCAACAATACTTTAAATAACAATTTTTATTATTAACTTATTACTAAATGTTTAAAGTAAGGCTGTCAATTTCGGAAGTAATAAACGGTTATCCGGTTCGACAAGTTTTGACCGGTTTCGGTAACTGTTAAACCGGTGACAGCTTTAATCGGTCACGATTACGGTTAAACCGGTTACGGTTAAACCGGTTACGTTCTTTAACGGTTTTTGGTCCTACGAAACCTGTTAACCGGTTGACCGGTCACGGTTACCAGCCTTAGTTTAAAGTGTCCTCCATTTACATACAAGCATTTCTTAATTCCTACTTCTACATTAGACGTTGCTTTTCTTGAATATTTTGGGTCCAATAGAAATTGTTAAATATCTTTGGGATTATTAAGTTTAGGTATATGGAATATCAATCGAAATGTTTTTTTTTATATTTTCTATTTGATTATGTAAAAACATACAGGGTGTTACATTTAAAATAAAAAAGTTATTAACATTTTAAGTTAGCCTATTATAATTTTTCTTGGGTAATTAGTTGAAAAATGTGTATTTACGATTGACGCGCATTTGTAAAATTTTACCGAAAAAAATTAATAACTCGAAAACTATTTACTTTAGGTATATGACATGGTATAGTAATTTTACTCCAAATTTGATGTAGAATTTAAAAATTTAAAAATATATGGGGTGTTCTATTTTAAATAACAAAGTTGATGTCACTTCCGGTCTAGTTGAAAGTGGCATTTTGATTAAAATATTTTAGAAAAATAGGCTTAATTGGATTATAAACGCTTTAAAAATTTTAAATCGATATGTTTTGCCGTTCCTCAGAAACTTTCAATGGACCACGAACGTAAAACACCCTGTATTTCATAAATGTGAAACACCCTGTATATACTTAATTAAAATAATTTTAAATTGTAGCTTTAATGGTTGTCCATTTTTTCAATGAATAATTTTTTTAAACTATACAGTCTAGCTGTTATATTATGTGCCGAATACCGTGGTTAACATTTCATTGGATCGCACTTAAAAAAAATGACGTGATCTGAAAAAACGCTGAGACACGAGAATATGTTCAAAATCTATAGAAATTTTTCATGGAAGGGAAAAAATCAAATTTTGTCGTACTGTGTTATAGATACTAATTATCTTACCTTACTCTTGCTTCTCTTCATATCAGCCACACTAGCATAAACCCTAGGCTTAGCAGGCGACCCAGGATGACTCAAAGTCTGAGTGCCATCCTGAAACCTGCTACTGCTCATCAAACTGCTCTGCTTCATATTATCTAGCTCCCTCTGCTGCTGGAAAATCTCCTCGAGCTCCTGCGAAGTGATCCTGCCGGAAATGGGCCGCTGCCTTATGGAGGCGGTCCTCAGGGCTACCGGAGTAGAATTTCCAGTACCTGTGGGGGTCGATTGGTGTATTGATTCGGCGGACGACGATTTCATTATATCGTTTTCATCCTCTTGCTCGCAGCCCAAACCTGCGACCATAGATTTGGCTCTAGCGCGTCCGACGCTCAGCGTGGTTTTGGGGTCGCGTCTAGGCGGCATGGGCGCTTGGGTGTTCCTGGTCAAGGCACCAATTTTTCTGGGTAACGTGGCGTACTGTCGGCTCAGAGGTATATCGGCATTTCCGGGCAGTATGGTGGATTTGCTCATTGGTATACTGCTACAAACGTTTACCTCTAGAGATAAGACCGTCATCTTCACTAAAGCCCCAGATTTTCTTATCAAATCGACGACGTGTTCGTGCGAAGCACTGGAAACATCCTCATCGTTAATGGCGATGAGGAAATCGCCTTTTTTTAAGCCGTTTATGTCCGCTACTCCTCCAGGATCTACATCGTCGAGATATTGAAGGGCAGGGCATTTTTCCGAGGGCGTTAGCTCCATTAAAGGAGATGTAGCTTTGGCCCCACGAAGTATGAAACCGAACCCTTTACGACCCCTGTGCAAAACTACAGTTCGAGGTTCACCTGGTAATCCTGCGTATCTAAAGAAAAAACATGTTGTTTACAAAAAGTGTTATTTCTATATATTTTTTTTCGTATTTAAGAAACGAGGTTTTTTTTTCGATTTTTTAATAGTATATGGTGTAATAATAATAATATATATTGTAAAATGATAGAAAAACTTAAATAAATTAAATTTTTTTTAAATAATTAAAAATACACTGCGCGTCAAAATTAACGCATATTAAGTTAAAAAAGAGTTAAACTCTAAAACGCCTTTACCAATCTTTATGAAATTTTGTATAAAAATACTGCTATCTCAGTTTACGTGTTCGAGGGATTTTCGAGAAAATTTTTCAAAGCCCTTTTATTTAATAATAAAAAACGTTCGAAAAATAACTTTTAGGGATTTTTTTAAGTAAATAAAAATATGCTGTTAAAGACCGTATATTTGTTAGTATACCCTAAAAATTTAGTACAAATCAAACCAATAGTAACGAAGATACAGCGCTTCAGAGTCGCTAAAAATGACCCCTTTTTGATTATTTTGCTGAAAAGTGGTCATTTTTGACAATTTTAAAGCGCTGAATTTTTGTTACTGTTCGTTTGATTTTTAGGATATACTAACAAAAATTCTGTCTTTCACAGCATTATAGATATTAAACTATACACTCAAACAGCCATAGCCAGTGTTTCTGCTACCAGGGCCATGGTCTTATAAGATTAAAGTTAATACGAGCAAATCGACAACTTTTAAAGCGACTCCTTTTGATTTGAGTAAAAGTTTGATATTTACATTTTAATGTTTATTTTAATTTTTTTAGTAATTTTAAATTTTAGGAATTTAAACATATTGAAATTTTATTACTTTTGGAAAGTTTGTCTTAATTTTATTTATGCAGGAGTACATTTCATATAGATATTGAAGAATTTTTTGTTTGGTTAATTTATTACTGTTATTAATATAATATTGTTTATTTCTGTTATTATATTATGTTATGTATGTATATAGGCCCTGGTACCAGTTTTTTTTAACTGTTTTGGGGTCAGCAATAAATAAATGAAAAAAAATTACCCCATTAAAACGTTTCTGTTGATTTATTGAACATTTTTATACCCAACAGAAAATTTAAAAAAAATGGCTTAAATTTTGTTTATAAACAACAAAAATATTTAATGTCATATTTCATGTTTCAGTTTTATGGAAAAAGCATTAATTTTTCAAAGTACCTAATCGGTAATATGAATTCTTAAAAATTTACTCCTAAAAACTGACATAGTAGGCCTTGTATTAGGTACAAATATGGCGTTCTTGCTCCAAAAATACAGTTTATCAATATCTTCACTTTAAAACAAAACCGGTTAAAATCGCACAATACATAAAGATTTTACAGGGGTGAGTCGCAAACAAATGAGTCACACTGTAGTATTTATTTAATTTTTTTTAAACTTTAATTTATTCTGCTCTAATGCCGCAAATCCCATGGTGAGCCAACTTTTCTTTCTGGTTTTTAAACCTTTTGTACATTTTTTCGACATCTAATAAAATAAAATTATAATTTATAAATAAATACAAAAAATAGAAAGAAAAATTGGCCCACTAATTAAACGCAAAATAAATCAAATTTGGCAGTTTTTGATAAAGTTATAAGCGTTTGAAAAAAACACCAAATTTCGGTTAGGTATTTTTTTTTAAATTTACAGAAACGTTTTTATAAAAACGTTTCTGTAAATTAAAAAAAATACCTAACCGAAATTTGGTGTTTTTTTCAAACTTACTTAATTTACTCCCTCACTATAGTGAGGGAGTAAATTTCAGTCAAAGGGGTCAAGTTTAAAAGTGGTCGATTTGGCGTGAAACAGTAACCACCCGGACAACATTCGTGATATTCATACGAACATCATGTCGTGATTTTCACAAATTTTATTCATACTAATATCATACGGAAGTCACCGCGTGATAAATGAAAATCATACGAACGTCACGTCGTGATTTTCACAAATTTTATTCATACGGACATCATTCGGATGTCTCTGCGTGAGAAATGAAAATCATGTCGTGATTTTTTATGCCAACGGTGTTTGGATAATCATTTTTGCGCCACGTTCGTACACTACGAGAAAAATTATGTTGAATCAACAGTTTTTGCGGTTAAATACATTTAATATTTTCTTGGATTTAAATTAACTATATATAGTTAATTTAAATCCAAGAAAATATTGAATGTATTTAACCACAAAAACTGTTGATTCAATATATATGTAGGTATACTTTTTCTCTCAATGTACGAATGTGGCGCAAAAATAAATATCCAAACACCGATGGCATAAAAAATCACGACATGATTTTACTTTATATACTAACTTTAAGTTAGTAGAATTAGGTCCCTAGTTATTTAAAAAAATCTGTGGAAAATTTACATATTCTAATAAAATTAAAAAAAAAGGATACTTAATCCTTTTAAAACCCTTAAATAAAGGCAGTAAAACTTACTTTTTAGTTCTAGGTTGTGTAGAAAACTGTTTCTGCCCCCCGGTGGACTCCCTCCTACCAGCCACTCTGTTACAACTATTAGGCAACACTCTCGTATCCCTTGCTACCATCATGGGAGTTTGAATATTGGGGTTTCTTAACCTAATTTCCTGTACGCAGTGCGCCGGAAACAACCCTGTAGCGTTCCCGCCATTTTTTACGATCCCTTCGAGAAAACCGTCATCGGTAGCACCAATAACTGAAAAATAGAATATTCCTGTGAAATGAAAGGTATTCAACAACCTGTACCTTGTTTTTACTGGACAACCTCTGCAACTAGAGATCAAGGTACAAAGTAGAATAGGTTGTCCAACAATTTTGTACTTGATGTCAAGGTGTCTAGTCACAGCAGGGTTGTTATGTTTAAAACAAATTATTTTAAACAAGGTTAAAACAACTTAAAGTGTTTTAAACAGATTTGTTTTAAACTTTTTAAAGTATATTTTTACCAATTTAAGTTAATAATACCTACACAATTTTACAAATATGTTTTTGGACATGTTTTAGACTGTTTTTTACTAATTTATTTTCAAAAATAATACACAATTAAAAACATTAATTTTTGGACATGTCAACGTCTGAATAAAACATAGATAAACTCTAATAGTGCAAAATGTTGTGTTTGGTATAAATTTTATTTTAAGAAAAACAGTTCACACTATAGATTATAATTATCACTAAGGTTTGATCATTTCAACCATTTTTCCAAATTGGTTTGTTCTATGAAATTAATGTCAAGGACATGCGCAATACTAAAATAGAGACGTAACGCGCCCTATTAGATAAATGGGTTATTTTCAAATTTCTTGTGCATTTGCTGTCCCTTAACTCGTAATTTGGAACTTTACTAAGCGAAATCAATTGGTTTAAGTGTTTTTAGCAACTATACAGGGTGTTTCTTTTAACTTGAGACAGCTCAATATCTCGAGAAATACGCATTTCACGGAAAAATGTCTAAAATAAAAGGTTAATGTGACCAAAGGGGACATTAAAATGGTCATTTATAAAAACTGTGACCCAGGAGACGTGACCTAGGGGACCAAAATTAAGGGAGAACTTTAAGTGGTTATTTTAACCACTTGTATTTTTTAATATTACCACAAATGGGCTTTTTCTGTAATATTTGGAATATATTCTCAGCTAGTTAAAAAAAGGATGCAATTTTACTCTAAAAGATGTTTAAATAACATTAATTAGTGAATATTATTGCAAGTGGGGCAGCTACTTTTCTGTACTGTTGGGGAAAGTTTTTTTATAAAGTTAAATTTAAAATTTTACAATTTTGCTAATATACAGGGTGTTTCTTTTAACTTGAGACAGCTCAATATCTCGAGAAATACGCATTTCACGGAAAAATGTCTTAAATAAAAGGTTAATGTGACTAAAGGGGACATTATTTGGTGCTACCGCTAGCCACCCCCTACCCCTCCTTAAGGGTGAAAAGGGGGGTAACTTTGGAAAGTCAAATGGAATGACCCGATTTTTTTCATAGAGTTTGGTAGTACATAAAAAAATGAATAACTTTTATTTGAAAGTTTTTTTCAATTTATCAACAGATGGCGCTGTAATTCAAAATTTAAGAAAAAGGGGTTTCCTTGTAAAATGTATTATTTGAAACGTTTGAAAAACAAAAATTAACATTAAATCAACAATAGTCGGCTCTGAAAACAATTTATAACAAATGTTCGAAATGTCGTCCTTCCATTTCGACACCAAGTGAAGCACCAGCGTCCCTGGTCGGTAAACGTTTGGTGCGGTACCTTAAGCGAACGATTAATCGGACCCTTCTTTATTGACGGTGCATTAAATGGCGAAAAGTACCGGAATTTTCTAGAAAACGATCTGACGGACCTTTTGGAGGATGTGCCACTAGCACGGCTCCAAAACATGTGGTACCAGCAAGATGGTTGTCCTGCACATTATTCGACAATTGCTCGAGAGGTGTTGGATCGGGAGTTCAATGGCCGGTGCACCGCGGTGGATCGGTAGACGTGGTCCAGTAATTTGGCCTGCTCGATAACCTGATCTTACGCCACCAGACTTCTTCCAGTGGGGTTACTTGAAAGAAAAAGTTTACGCTGCAATTCCTACAACTTGGGAGGACATGGTGGAGCGGATCAGGAACGCCTGTGCGGCGATACCGCCCGATATGTTGGCGCGTTGTGTGCCAGAATTCATTACCCGCATTCAAAAATGTGTTGAAATGGAATGACGACATTTCGAACATTTGTTATAAATTGTTTTCATAGCCGACTATTGTTGTTAATGTTAATTTTTGTTTTTCAAACGTTTCAAATAATACATTTTACAAGGAAACTCATTTTTCTTAAATTTTGAATTACAGCGCCATCTGTTGATAAATTGAAAAAAGTTTTAAATAAAAGTTATTTATTTTTTTATGTACTACCAAACTCTGTGAAAAAAATCGGGTCATTCCATTTGACTTTCCAAAGTTACCCCCCGTTTCACCCTTAAGGAGGGGTAGGGGGTGGCTAGCGGTAGCACCAAATAATGTCCCCTTTAGTCACATTAACCTTTTATTTAAGACATTTTTCCGTGAAATGCGTATTTCTCGAGATATTGAGCTGTCTCAAGTTAAAAGAAACACCCTGTATATTAGCAAAATTGTAAAATTTTAAATTTAACTTTATAAAAAAACTTTCCCCAACAGTACAGAAAAGTAGCTGCCCCACTTGCAATAATATTCACTAATTAATGTTATTTAAACATCTTTTATAGTAAAATTGCATCCTTTTTTTAACTAGCTGAGAATATATTCCAAATATTACAGAAAAAGCCCATTTGTGGTAATATTAAAAAATACAAGTGGTTAAAATAACCACTTAAAGTTCTCCCTTAATTTTGGTCCCCTAGGTCACGTCTCCTGGGTCACAGTTTTTATAAATGACCATTTTAATTGAGCGCAAATTGTTTGGAGCTGCCCCCTTACGGCAATGTATTTGGTAACGGATTTTAGTAGGAAATATACCAGCGTGGCAAAACTGTGCATTCTCCTGTGTCACAGTAATAAAAAGCAGTAAAGGTACCAGTTGGACTTAGATTCTCAAAAGTAAGTATCATAGTAATGGTTTTAAGGGCAAAAATACAATTTTTTATCTTTAAAACAGTAAAGAGGTTATGTTCTAAAAAAATACATTTTCCCCTGGGTCACACGTCTCCTGGATCACATATTGTGTGACCCAGGGGAAAGTTATTCGACCCAGGGGAAAGTTATTCGACCCAGGGGAAAGTTATGTGACCCAGGGGACAATTCCAAAGAAATAAATTATAATATATTTTTGAAATAATAATAAACTTATAGGAAAGTTTTTAAAACATTTTTTTTCGACCTTTCACGTTTTCTGTTTTTGACAGTACGTAGCCATTTTAAAATAATGTCATCCACCTTTATAATAGTAATTTTCCTAGTCAATGTATTTTGCCTCAAAAAAGCTGGAATTTTTTTTTTGTAGTTTAATGAAACAATGTTTTATTATTATTTTATTAATATTACTAATAACTAAAACTTTTTATTAATTTATTAAATTGGACAAGCTTAAGAAAAATAAATCGAGAAAAAACGTTTTTAATACGCATTAAAAGAAAATTTCTTAAACACACTTTTTTTAATGGGCATTTTTTAAATACAGAAAATATACTAAAAATACTTAGGTATGTAAGATTGAAAAATTTAACATAGTTCTTGCTTTTACTTAGTTTTGTACTCAATTTTTTTTTATAAATAATAAATGTATGTTCTTTTTTTAAACAAATCCTAGCGTAAATAAAACTATAAAAGAATTATTGACAAGCAAAAAAATAAATTTTCAAAATGATTAAGTTTTTTTAATTTTTTAGTAAATTTGTGACCCAGGGGACCATTTTTGTAGATTAAGCTTTTCTTTTTACTTTTTCTTCTTTAAATGTACAAGAATTTTGAAAATGACCCAAATGCCTTGTTAAAAATCCGCTTTAATCAGGAACTCACAGAGGGAGCGCGATGCTCACTATACTATAGAGTATACTATACTATATAGTATACTATACTATACACGCATTACTATTTTAAACTTGTTTTTTTATAAAGTTTTTGAAACAGTTTAAAACGAAAAAAACAACACAAAACAAAAATAAACATGTTTTTATGTTTTTTTAAAGCATGTTTTTTTCTAACCTTGAGTCGCTGAGGTTGTCCAGTAAAAAAACAAAACAGTACAAAAACAAACAGTAGTACAGGTTGTCTTTTAAAAAAAACTTACCCTCAATAAAGTCTCCAGTCCTTATGCTTACGTGTCCCTCCTCTTTGCTGCTGAAAGGCTCCATGCACACCACAGTGGTACCGGGCGTCATATTCATGCTACAGTTGGTGGTGTCGGAGTTGGCGGTTCCGACACCGCTACTGTCGCTTATGATGTCGCTAGTGTCGCCCAGGCTTTTGTCTGTAACACCCAGCGCCAGCACTGAGCGAATGTTAACTTGTTAATTTTTGGTGACGATTTTTGTTGTTTAATTGATGATATGAATGTGTTTTTAATGCCTATTTACACTTTTTGGAAATGTTTGTAGCTCCTATACTAACTTAACTAGTGAACACTGCTAAAGTGTACACTACTGGAGATAGTGTATGCTACAAACAGACCTTTCTGCATGTAAATATGTTTAAACTAAAAAAATGGCATTATATATACATAGATGATATAATAATAAAACTAAAATCTTTTTATTTCTAAAAATGATAATATGACTGAATATATGAAATGTAGAATTTTATCTTAATTTAAATGTGCCTCTAGGTAGCCATTCATAATAAATTGCCAGTTTTAGTAAAAAAAACATTCAGAGCACAAAATGCACAGTAAGTATATTAAATCGTAACATGCAAGTTTAGATTTTGGTTTTTTACTTTTTATTGTTTATAAAAAGTAATTTTTAAATACTATTTATGTTTTTTATCTGTTTTTGTTTTATTTTTATGTAAGAGATTTGGTTTTGCGAATTGTTTTATAAGTAATTTTTTTATGATGATAATATCCAAAAATTAGCTGCCCAAAGAGTAAAGGTAAAGTTGTATTCATAAAAAGCGTACAAGCATGAGCGAAAACTGTCACCATAATATTATTACTTAAAACCGGCTTATCACTGACTTAAGTCATTATAATAATTATTATAGGTTATTAAAAATGCAAAGCATTGACGTCGGGAATTAACCTTTATAATCTGTGGGGATTAATTAAGTAACATTTAAAAATATTGCATCTTGCAGTTTCGTAGCCGTATTGAAAATAACTGAAAGAATATTCAGCTATAGGTATATCCAGTAAATTTAGTAAATATAGGTATTTTTGACAAAATAGGTACTTAATAATAATTTTTATTTGTAATGTTTATTAATCGGACGTACTTACATCATATTTAATTCACATACTAAAATTAAAAATTATAATATGATTTATATATAATATAATATGATACATAAAATATACACATGTAAAGAAAATGAAAAAAATATATAAACGTGGAAAAAAATTCAGGTGAAGTAAGAATTTTATCCTCTGTTTAATTTTGTTTTTTCTATTTTTTATTTTCAAATTCAGATATTGTATTGAAAGAGCAGTTTTTAATTAATCTATTTTAGAAAAGAAAGAAACGGATAATGTTTAACGTGCACGTTGAACATGTTGTTACATGCAAAATTATTTCTTACTTTAGATAATTATGGCTGGGACACTTGAGCCCCTTTTCTCAGAGCGAGTCACATTATTTATAAATAAAAAAAATAATTTTTGTAATTTTATTTCATTACACTCCGACGTCAGTGCTTTGTATTCTTTATAACCGTATTCTTTATAATAATTATTTTAATGACTTATGTAAGTTATATGCTGGTTTTAAGCAATAATATTATGGTGATAGTTTTATCTCATTCTAATTCTAATTTTATGAATACAACTGTAAATTCCTCTTGAAATTTCAAGGAGTTTAAGGAGTTATTCAACTTCAAATGCCGCAGTCACAATCCAGACTATCTTGTACTAAAAAATCACAAACCCAAAGCACAAGAATTGTAAACAACAAAAATGGCCGCCGTTAAACTCTGTGCAGTGTTGCAGCGATTTTTAGTATTTTTAGTACGAGATAGAACAGACCTTGTTTTGTGGGTAGTGGCCGCAGTACTATTGATTTGTATTCGGGGTTGCATAACTATATACATTCAAACGAGTAATTTGCTTTCACCCTTTGGGATATAAAAACATCAAAATCGCGCAAAAAACTTGCAAATTTTAAAAGAAACTAATAAATATAAAATTATAAACAAATCATGAATTTGTCTTGTAAATAATTTAAGTTATTGTAAAATAATATAAATATTAGTGTAAAATAATACAGAAATCTTGTAACATCGCAGATAATTCCAACAAACCTCGTTTCAATTTTCCATTAAAAACATAAATGGTACTTATCCCACCTCCACCAAAAAAGTGAGTAGGTAACATTTTATACATCTCACGTCGCGTCTTGGTTTCACGCTTTCATAGTTGCCATGGCAACCAAAACGGTTGCTATGACGTTTTTTAGAATGAATTTTGTAAAACGTGAGTCGTATACTGTAAAGCCTCATTCAGAACCTCATAATTAGTGAAATAAATTAGTGGTTTCAATTAACGTAAAAGCTTGTCTTACACAGTGTTGTTCACAACTAAAAAATTAGTGGTAGTACTTTTCAATTAGTGGAAAAAGTTTGCAAACGCCAAACTTTTTCCACTATAATTCCACTTATAATTGAAAAGCGCATTTATCAGTGAAGGTAAGGTTATATAAATATTATTATCAGGGGCGGCCCGTTAGGGGAGGCAGGTGAGGCAGTGCCTCATCATAGAAAATTAAAAAATTAAGTATAATTTAAATATTTTACTTTCGATAATATACTATATATTTTTAATATTTGGATTACATGAATTGTGAAATAGTCAATAAAATTGATTGATTTTATACGTGAAATACCCAGCAACATTTAAATTATTTGAATTTGAAACGACCGCAATTTAATAGTATATTAAAGAACTAATGTCGTAAGACGTCATTTTGTCGCACGCGGACAATTAAAACGAGCGACGAAGGAGCGAGTTTTATAATGGACAAGTGCGACAAAAGGTCTTATGACATGAGTTCTTTATGCTATTTTATCTATTTTGCAAACATTTTATAAAACAAATTAATTTTATACCTTATATTTAATTTGGTGGAATTTTACTTTACATAGTTGGTATCACAGTTTGAAGTTTGAAAGGTCATTAACCTTTCAAACATTATCACATTCTTTCGCTATGGCGTCGTTAATTTACAATAAGTATTTACAATAAGCGGCTGTTAAAGAAGAAAAAAAGATTTTCTTTGGTGTTAAACAAAATTTATTGCACGAAAAGTCTCGTAAGTACTAGAAAACAAATCATAAAAATAATATAACCTATAGGTATTCAAAATTGTATTTTACCAGTAGCCAACCTATAAAATCAAAATTTTGGGTGGAATAAAGTACCTCATTAAAGAACCAAAAGCGGTGTTATAATGAAGTCATTATGAAACCAAAATAGATAAACTAATATTTATAGCTAGATGATTGGCTCGGAAGCATGCCTGAACTAATTTAGACTCACAATTGGCGTTAGCCTTGTTGTCGCGTTCTATTACAATGCGATATCATAGTTGTCTCCTTCTCGAGGCAGGCACGCCTACATCCAAGGAAATAAGCAGGTGTTGTGGCAACACTGTTGCGGAATTTTAGATAAATTATACTTCACACGTTTTTCAAAATTCAATAATAAATGGTATTATTTTTCTTAATAAATCGATTTAATCGAAATTATATTTCTATTCTAAAATAAACATATTTTAACACTATCGCCATCTTGTAGCCATCACAGTAACCAATAAAATAAATACAGATTCCTTCTTTAGGTTTGTTTTGGTTATAACATTCTGAACTGTCTAAAGAACAAATCTGTGGTTATTTACGCAATATTTTGTTTATTCTTTTTCTATGAGTTTGTCTATTTTATGATTCTTTTGTAAGTGGTTTATTCTGTGGGTTTAGTTAATTAAACTTGGTGATTTATGTGAATTTAGTCATTATGGATATTACGGTGAGAAATTGTAAAGTTTAAGTTTAAGTTGGGTTTAAAAAAAATTCTTCGCCTTTAAATGAGGGCAAAACCCTGCCTCTGCCTCACCAAAATGAAATGTCACGGGCCGCCACTGATTATTATAATGGTTGTACAAAATTATTATTAATATAATTAATTTTGTTTATATCAAGTTAAGAAAAATGTACGATCATTTAGCAAATTCCATTAATTTTAGATGTTAATTTTGAGCATTGTGAAAGATCGTTTTGTGTTAATTATAAGTATAGGTAATGGAAACCACTAATTTATTCCACCAATTACGAGGTTCTGAGCGGGGTCAGATGATACCGTACCTGTGACGATGCTGGCGGCGTCGGGTTCGAGTCCCGGCGGCGGGCCGTGGCTGCCGGCGTCGCTAAGGCTGCTACTGGCGGAGCTGTAAGGGGCGGTGGTGGTGGAGGAGCGGTCCGAGGGACAAGGACTGGGCGGTAGGAGGGCCGAGGTGGGCGACAGCGGGGCGCATTGCGCGTACTGCGCCAGCTGGCCCGCGGAGGGGGCGCGCTGCAGCCAGCCGATGGCCGAGCGCCGTCTCGGATTGTACCTGGGCGGATCGCGGTACGGTACTACAAACATCCACGAAAAACATTGATAGTAGATAAGAAGACAGAAGGCAAAATTTTGGGTTTGTTTTTTTGCTATATCAAATATCAATTTCAAATAAAATTCGAGAACTTGTTATAACACTATGATAGTTTTAGAAACTTTTTTTCTTCTAACATTGAGTACTCCGGCCTAGTTTAACTAATTTTGGGCCGCTGATTTCAAAAATGTCATTCGTTTTGCTAGGATTGTTCTGCTCAATCACCTCAAAATGTAAGTTTTTTTGTTTTAAGTAGGTATTTATTAAATTATTTTGCCTCCAATTTATCTTGAATGTAGGTACAGGGTGATCCCCTATAATGTCGCCCCCCTTTAAGTTTTTTATTTTAAGGGTCCCAAAATATTTAAAAGTGTGGTTATGTAGGAACTAAAAAATACTTTTTTTCTACTTATAAAGAAAATTGGAAAATTGATCAGTATACAGGGAAAAACAAAAAGTTTATTTTTTTTTCAATGGATCACCCTATATACACGTATATATATATATATGTATGTATTTATTTTATGTATGTATGTATGTATGTATTTATGTATTTATTTTTCGATTCCTTGTAAAATTCTAAGTATATTTTATATAACATACCATATACCTAAATTCAACCGTTTCTAAAATATTTAAATTATTTTTAAGATAATAAAATGAAATATTTTGTCTTTCTCTGTCTGAGTACGCCATTTTTACTTATTTAACAAGACATATTGACTTAATGTAATTTATTTTTAATAAAAATTTTGGTATACTGAGGCTTCTTGATTTCTAACAGTTTAAAAAATATTTAATGATAACATTTCGAATGCGAATATTTCAGAAACAGTTAAATTTAGGTATATGGTTTGTTATATGAATTATGCTTAGAATTTTACTAGGAATCGAAAAATAAATTTATATATAGAGTGATCAGTTGAAAAAAAAATAAATGGTTTCTAGGTGAAAAAACTGTGTGACAGCACCTGTCAGCAGTTTTTTCGAGTTTACCCGCGGCAAAACTCGACAGTTGTTGTCATCAAAAATTGCAATTTATGTTTTAATTGTTAACTGTTACTCATGAAATAGTCTTGTCAAATACCATTCGAGCATCTAATTTTTCCGGTGAAAAAAATTGAAAAAACACTATGCTAAGTAATATTTTTTAACAAAAAGCATTCGGGCAGGTGCAAAAATCCTCCTCTTCGACTCGGATTTTTGTTGCCACCAGCACTCATGCTTCTTGTTAAAATATTACTTAGCAACGTGTTTTTTCGATTTTTTTGGGAAAAATTAGATGCCCTTATGATATTACTTACGACTATTTCCCTCGTCTTAATTTCCACCAATCACAAACGCGCAATTTTGAATTACAAATGGTTTCTAGGTGAAAAAACTGTGTGACAGCACCTGTCAGCAGTTTTTTCGAGTTTACCCGCGGCAAAACTTGACAGCTTTTGTCACCAAAAATTGCAATTTATATTTTAATTGTTTACTGTTACTCATGAAATAGTCTTGTCAAATACCATTCGGGCATCTAATTTTTCCTGTGAAAAAAATCGAAAAAACACAATGCTAAGTAATATTTTTTAACAAAATGCATTCGTGCAGGTGCAAAAATCCTCCTCTTCGACTCGGATTTTTGTTGCCACCAGCACTCATGCTTCTTGTTAAAATATTACCTAGCAACGTGTTTTTTCGATTTTTTTCGGAAAAATTAGATGCCCTTATAATATTACACTGGTTTACAAATTAAAATTAAAAAAATGTACCTTCGCTGTCACTATTTTTTTCTAATGTATTGTGACCTGTTAAACTTAAAAATCACAAAAAAAAAAAATTTTATGGCAAGGTTTTTGAGATAAAATTTTTTCTTTAATATTTTGGTTCTTTAAGAAAGCAGCTTTACAATTTGGGTCATATCTCGGGTTAGAAATGGCCAATCTGGTTGAAAAAAGTTTAAAATTAAACATATTTGAGTCGCCAACAAATATCACCTTATTAGTACCCAATCAGTTAATAAGCTTAAGTTCAATGGGCTCAAATATTGGAAAAAGTCGTTTTTTTTGGAGAAAAATGAGAATGTAACATTATTTTCTTTGCCAAGGATGAATACAAATCAACAAAATATGTCAATTTTTAAATTATCTACGTGGAGTTCAAACTGTTATAAAGAAAACAAGATATTTTTAAAACAAATCTATTGATAATTATTATAATTAAAGGGGTTAATGCAAAAAGTGGACAGGTAAATTTTTTTCCGAAATTAAGTTTTTTGCAAAAAAAAAGGTTCTATTTGCCTAATAGAACCTTTTTACTGTTAAATAAATTTTATTTTATATTTTAATATTAAAATACAGTGTGTTCCTTTTAAAACTAACCCCCCTAAATTCTCGGAAACTATAGTATACTATAGAAGTATTTTAAAAAACGCAGAGACAGGTTAAGTTTTATATCGAGGGGGAAAACTTTTTAAGGCAAATTTGGTTTCCCACCTTTACCTTCTGCGCCCCGGAGGTACCCCCTTAAGAATTTAAATAGAGAAGGGGTACAGAGTACTACATTATTTTAAAGGTCTTAAAAATCCCGGCATTTTATTTTTTTTAAATTGGTCAGTTCATTTTTTAGATATGTACAATTAAGGGGAAAGCTCCTCGGCATAGCATTAATAGCATTAATGGCAAAATTTGTTGTCTCCCTCGATATAAAACTTTATGTGTCTCGTGAGTTTTCAAAATTCTTTTAGTTTCCGAAAAATTCAGGATGTTTCATTTTAAATGGAACACTCTATATATCATTATAATATAATTTAATATACAATACTATTGTAAATTAAAAATAATTTAGGTTTTTAGATTGCCTTCTGTTTTCGTTATCTGATTCCCTTACAAGGAACCAAATATAATCCCCCATCATTCTTTCATTCCAAAAGCCCTGATAGCGCCGCTCCATGGATTTTATTTCTTGATGAAACCTTTCACCATGCTCATCAATCAGGTCACCAAGATTTTTAGGAAAAAAATGGGCATATTTTAATGATTTTTGCTTCTTTTTGGTAAAATAGTAAATACTTAATTCTAATTTTGTCCAAAAAATTGACTTTTTCTCGATATTTGGCCCCATTGCACCTAAACTTATTGACTAATTGGGCATTTATACAATTACATTTGTTATTATGTTAATTAGGTTTAATTTGACATCTGTTGTAATCAAATTGGCCATTTCAAACTCGAGATATATCCCAAATAGTAAAACCGGCATCAAAAAATCAAAGACAATTTTTTATTTGGAAAATCTTGCCATAAAAAAAATTTTTATTGTCATTTTCGAGTTTAGCAGGCCAAAATACATCAGAAAAAAATAGTCGCACTCAAGGTACATTTTGACTGTAAACCAGTGTTACTTACGACAATTCCACTTCTGTCAATTTAAACCTATTAAAAACTGTCAAAAATACAGTTTCTAGCGGATAAAAAGGAAGGAACAGAAATGCAAGTGACCAAAATTGTCGAATATTTTTTTATTTACCTTCTCCATAGTAACGGATGTATTATTGTATACATAGATTAATAGAGAAATTCCAAAGTGAAACAAAAATGACTTAATTTATTTACTCGTAGAATTTTCTAAACAAATACTTGAGGTTCGATTGAGCAGAACATTTTTTGAACTTTGAACTCAAACTTGGTGAAATGTTAATTTGAGTCTAAGAAATTTGGGCGAGAAAGTCCTAATTTCTTCTCACCCATAATATGTATAACAAGTGGTATGATTATCATCGATGATATTTTGGAATTGAAACCGAGCTGCAGATTTCACGAGTCCGCAGGACGAGTGAAATGTGCTGCTTCGGTTTCAATGAGTAAATATTATCGATAATTAATCATACCACGAGATATATTTAGTAAGAAAATATAATGAATTTTAGGATTTAACGAATTTGAATTAAAAATGTGCTTTAAAATATAAAAAGACTTTAATAAACCTTATTTATTCAAACTTACCTTAATTTTATTATCGTTTACACCAACCCATCGATCTTTTAGAGTTTATAATTCATTATTTTAATCATTTAACAAACACAGTATTTAAATGTCAACAAATGTCAAATCAAGAAAAGTGTCAAAATCCTTAGCAACGTGTAAACAAGGTGATAAAAAATATTGTCGCTGTGATAAAATGCGTAACTATGGAATACTGGCATTTTATTGGTTATTATAATGAATTGTATTGTCATCAAATTAATGCGTGAAACCCCTAAGTTTTCGTGAAAATTCAAAAAATAATCGAAAATAATCGAACATCAGATTACAGTCGACTATTATTTGATATTTGTTATCCACATCAAGCCCACAAAATTCAATGCATTGCATAATTTTGCCTTAAGAGCAATGATATTTTTTTACTGTATTTTAATCTTAGATTTATTAAATCGTATTAAATATCAAATTAAATTATACTATTAATACTTTTGCTGCAAATTACAGAAAATGTCTCCTAGCCATGAATCCAACTTCTTTTTGCTATACCAATGCTCTAGATTTACAGTTACTTGGTGAAATCTTTCTCCGTATTCATCAGATTTAGTAGGTGACTGTCCGGCAAATTTATCGTGATAAAAATGAAGAATATGTATTTTTGTAGGCGCCAATTTTCGGCGCGATATGATAATATTGAATAAATTAAAGATTAGAGATTGAATTGTATAGTTTTTTAGGCATGATGTGAATAAAAAAATATCAAATAATTGTCGAAGAGTAATGTTTATACCGAAACCCGTTTACTTTGGTGCCTTTTCAATTTATTAATTAAAAAAAAACAACACAAAAATTTTAAAAAATGTTACTTTTTACAAAAAAATACATTAGAATTTTAATTTATTTATTCCATTAAATGGTACACAGTTTACATTGTTTTTTTATTTATGTAATATTTTTTATTAGAAACTAAAATGGATTCTTGATTTTTAATTTTTACTATATTTCACCTAAACACGTATCCGTGATTGTGTTGTGAAATAAAATAATATTACAAACAAAGGAAATTTCTATATTAAATTTTTAAATATGAATTACAGTTCATTTTTGTTAATTAGATTTTTTTATAAGCTTAGAAGGAAGCAAACGCAAATATTAATATAGTAATTGTATGTATGTATGTATTTGAGGACCATCACCATCACAAAATAGTGGGACTACTTTTTTTTGAATTCTATTTATTTCGGTCCTGATGAATTTCTGTTTCAATTTTAAAAGTTTTAAATTTTCTTAACGCCTTTAGTTTATTTGGTAGGATGTTAAAGCATTTTGGGCCAATATAAAATATATATCTCTGCGCAAAAGTCTTTTTTAAAAGAGGTAATTTAATATTATTATTAGAATTGTGTCTTGTATTATATGAATGATAAATTTTACTTTCCGTCTGATATTGATGAAATGTATATAAAAGGCACTTATGTATATAGATTTGTCTAATATTTAAGAGTTTGGTCTCGAGATATAAATTACTAGTGGAGTACATTCTTGCTTTATTAAATATGATCTTAATAATACTATTTTGATATGACTGTCAACATTTTAAACTATTAGAATATATACAGCCCCAAACAGAAACACAATAACTTAATATTGATTTTACTAGTGAATTATACATTATAACCAGATTTTTTAAATTTAATATATTTCTAAGACAGTAAAATTTTGGAATAAGTTTCCTTAATTTAGAACACAGGTATTGCGTATGTTCATTCCATCTCAGATGATGATCAACGATAATACCTAAATACTTCATTTTATCGACTTTTTCTATTTTTGGACAATAACAAATATTTGTGTTACACTGGATTTCGTGTAATGATATAAAGGTTTTTTGAGGTTGATCGTCAGCCGAAATAGTAAACGTTAAAAACTTGGTTTTATTTAAATTTAACTTAACAAACTTAAACCGAGAAAGTCTCGCAGTGCCTTTAAGTCGGCCTCCGCCTTAATGTACACAGCATCCCAGGAGTCTCAACTAAATAATATTTAGTGGGGATTTTAGTAAATATAATGACAGTATCGTCAGCATAATAAATTATTTCCCCCATTATGTTTTTAAAATTTATTACCTATATTAATATATATTAGGAATATGATAGGTCCTATAGTACAGTACCCTGGGGAACACTTTTAGCTATAAGTAGGGGGTCACTTATGTCTTGATTAATTTTTACTTTCTGGGTTCTGTTTGATAGATAATTCTTAATAAGACATACATACATAACAAACAAATATACCTATATTAAATTTTAAAGAGTGCACTCTGCATCTTTTAAAATAAAATTAAAACAATGCAGCCAGACACTAATTTTGCTTTTTCAAGTGTTTTCTTAAATAAAATAATGTTACGCAGAATATTTAAATAACATATTAAATTATTTTAGTTTAGAATAACTAATAAAAAGTGTAAAATAAAAAAACTCAACCTTTAAATTGGTTAAAATTATTTTGGGTAGACATTGTCTACCTTGTCTACCCCAGTCTACCCCTTCGCCACTGACTACTAGTGCTACAATGGAACAAAAAATTCAAAATATAAATATTTTCTATTTGAGATATACCTACTGATGACTTTGTATAGAGTAAGTATATTTTTGACAAAACACGTTAAAAATATACAGGGACTTGGTACATCCAAACTAGATTTAAGGCAAAATAATTTAATAAGTAATCAAAATATTAACGAAAAAACTTTTTAAGATAATTGTGCAGAGGATTTTATTACGCAATTCAAATCCTAGACGTCCTGGAGCAAAACGAGTAACATTTTTTAAATCAACAGGGCGTACTCATGTTAGTAATTCGAACCATGATACCATGGTTGTATCATGATTCGAACTATCATAGTGTAATTACTATTATAACCTTAAAATGTCCTGTAAAATCGTAATTATTATAAAACGGAAAAATATAAAAATTTTGATTACAAACATTTTGAAAAATTAAAAGTTGTTTTTATTAAAAACACTATCTTTAGACATGCACTTGGGATATTTAGAAAAATAGAAAAACACGAATTAATTAGTTTTAAAAATTTAAACATTTATTCCTAATTAATTTGTATTTCAATAATTCTACCATGCAATAAAAGAACCACAGCATGCCTTAATTTTAGAACATCTTTCAGGTTTTAAACCCCAAAAATCGCTAAAAAAATCTAACAGAAAACAATCCTACAAAACACAAACTAGAGCTTCTGTATAGTTTTTTTACATACAGGGTCTCAAACATCAAGCATTCAATCTTTACTCACCGACATCGTCCTGCTTGTAGTTCTGTATAATATTCGCAAGATCCATGTTGCCTGCGATAACGGCCACCTGCGTGGGGGTTTGACTCGAATAGTTTGTGGCCTCGCGACTTGCCCCTCTGAACAACAGTTGGCGCGCGCAGCCCTCTTGGCCGTTCACTGCGCACACGTGGAGGGGGGTGTTTCCCGACGCGTTCTGTCCGTTCATGTCTGCGCCGTAGAACAGCAGGTGCTCGAGGTGTTTTAGGAGGCCCAGTTTACAGGCCTATAAAAAAATAAAACAATGGATTTTTTTTGTGAAATGGTAAAAAATGTGATATTGTGAAAATATTTAAAATATGAAGGTGATACAAATAACCCGATAACATTGTATTATAGTAGGGTTGCCTTCCTCAAATTTGGGAAACCAGGATTTAAAGATAGAAATACCAGGACATTTTGGTTTAAAAACAGGATGCAGAGTTTCCCCAGCAAACCCATATATGTATTTGCTGGGTAACTCTTATAAGTCTGATTATGTAATGGCCCATTACGTAATTTCATGGCTTAATAATGGCATTTTTAGCCAAACTGACCTTTACAGTAATGTTTTAATAAAAATATTAATTTTGAATAAGGCTGTCGTGAAATGGCCCTTTTCAGGCTAATATTTGTATATTTTACCATAAAAGATTCATATATGGTAATTTTTAATGGGACTTTAAAAAACCAAACGTTTTCTGTATATAAAACTTAATGAACCTTTAATTAACGCCATATTTTAAAAATGACGCCCAGTGTAATTAATAGTTTTAATAGTGTGTTACACCATATAACAAAATAATAGTAATACTTAATGGTTGTTAAATTTAAATGAGTATGTAGGTGCATTTTTAATTTTACAAATTTTTTAGAACAGAAAAAATACTGCCAAAAAATTTAGTAGAAAGGTTTAATTGATAAGGTCAAAATTGGGGGGCAATTGCGAATAAAAATAATTAATAATGGCAAAAAAACCCGGTTTTCTTTGTTACAAAGGATAATCTACCAAAAAAATCAAGTGAACTTATTTGTAAATATATATTTTAATTTTAAATATTTTATATTTGGTTTAAGGATTTTTTTATTTATTTTAATATTATGGATTCCATTTATTACCTCATAAACAGTTTTTAAAATAAAAATTTTATGTTTTACTTATATTTCTTTATTACAACATTGCTTTATTTTTTTTGTAAATTTATGAATGTTTTAATATTACATTTCACGATAATATATTAATTATTGTAATGGATAATTATGATTATATATGATTATAATCAAAGTATTTATTATGGTGGATTAAATGTGGTTTGTTTATATTTATTGGGTCGAATATTCCACGATAATCGGAAATTTTTATCCCGACCGTCAGATATTGTATTGTGACGGTAGGGATAACAATTTCTTATTATCGTGGAATATCCTTATCTATTAAATTAATCCACCTAAATAGATACTTCACTTATCCATCAAAAATTATTTAAATAACCACTATAGAATCTTTAACAACCCATTCAGAAACTTTAGCTTACCACATTAGTACCTTTAATCTGCCATATCAGAACCTTTAGCGCACCTTATAAAAAAATGGAATGGTTCTTGTAAGTGCCTTTATTGACTGCCGTTACATGCCCATTAAAGGTGAACGCGCATAGTATGTACAGTTCCATTAGAGTTAGCCTTTATAGGGCATTTATTTAATTAAAGGCACGTTTCTAAAGAGTCATTATAGAACCTTTAGGGTTGCGTTTGCTTGGTCAGTACTGGGTTAGAAAAGTCGAATTTAGAAAAAAACATAAAAACAAATAATGTGCCCTTCAAAATTTGTTTCTGGATCCCTGTTGAAACTTAACTAATAGCAATACCAATTTTTTTTTAAAGTATTTTTTTAAATTAAATTATAATAACCATCCTGTTTTTTCAGGACATGTCCTGCTTTTTGGGGTAATTTTTAAGTAGTGTCCAGGGGTTTTTAAATCGATTACCTAGGTATTGTTTATTTATAAAAAAAATATTCTTGCAAATTAAATCCAGATTTAATAATAAAAAACTTTGTTAAATGGTAAAACCGTAAATAGTCTTTTGAAGTAATAGAAAAGAAACCAAAACCACTTTAATAATTAATACAAAATATTTTCTTACCTGGTGTACTTCCTGCCAGCCCTGCGCATCCTGCGCCCCAGTGGTGGCGTGATCATGCAACAGCGTCTCGGTAAAACTCGAATCGGCTTGGTGCGTGATCGTGAGATATAAAGGCGTTAAACCCTTATTGTCCTTGTAATTCGGCGAAGCCCCTAACTCCAAAAGAGTCCTGAGAGCCTCCAAATTCGTATGCTCCACCGCTCTGTGCAGAGCCGTGGAACCATCTTTGGTTCTGTAGTCCAAAATAGCACCTCCGTTAACTAGCGCTATCAGGACTTTTGCTGGCTTTTTTATGCTTGAAGCTATAGTTAAAGGCGTTTCTATAATACAAAAATAACAATATTATTTACTATATAACGAATAAAATGTTGTTTGTTTACCCCCAGACTCCTGGCAGTGATAATTTGGATCTAAACCTTTCGAGCACATTTTCGTAACCTTCTCAACTTGCCCATTCTGTACGTACTCCAAAAACCTCCTCAAGTTAGCTCTCGTGTGTAAACTTTTCAACTGTTTTTCATCCAATGAGATCATTTTATATACCCTCCTTTTGTACTTTAACTACAATCAATATTTTAAATTTTAGGGTACACCGACGAAAATATGATTTTTGACGTTTTGGCATCAAAATCAAAAAGAGTGCACATTAATTGGTATATCTGTAAAACATCAGGGTATTTTACCCTGAATAAAACTAATTTGATGGGGCTTCACTTATTATTTATTACTTTTTAACTAAATTTATTAAACTGCTATGATTCGACTTCTACAAATGTTCTGCGGACTCTGCGTTACCATTCGATTTCTAAGCTGTGCCCAGATTGTTTTGCTTAGTAGGCACACGTGCCTTTATTGCTCTACTGTCCTACTTTGGTAAAAAGGGGATTATCCTAACACGGCCATCCTGTTTTCGGAGCGTCCTCGCGCCGTTTTTCCTTTTCTTTTTTTTTTATTTCTGCAAAAAGAAAAAACCGAAACAGATTTTTGTTTTTAAAGTTGAAATATAACTAAATTAAAACTAATTTAAAGTCGGATGGTATTGCTATCCTCAGCAGTGGGTAGTAGGATTGCTACTATCTTGTTTTTTGTTTTTTTTTTTGTCGGATGGGTTGCCATCCTCAACAGTGGGATTGCCACTTTCACCGAGGTGTTTAGTCACCTCCCAAGCATAATAGGACTGCTACTATCTTGTCTTTTTTTTGTCGGATGGGTTTGCCATCCTCAATAGTGGGATTGCCACTTTCACCGAGGTGTTTAGTCACCTCCCAAGCATAGTAGGATTGCTACTATCTTGTCTTTTTTTTTGTCGGACGGGTTTGCCATCCTCAACAGTGGGATTGCCACTTTCACCGAGGTGTTTAGTCACCTCCCAAGCATAGTAGGATTGCTACTATCTTGTCTTTTTTTTGTCGGATGTGTTTGCCATCCTCAACAGTGGGATTGCCACGTTCACAGAGGTGTTTGTTCACCTCACAAGCATAGTAGGATTGCTACTATCTTGTCTTTTTTTTTGTCGGATGGGTTGCCATCCTTAACAGTGGGATTGCCACTTTCACCGAGATGTTTAGTCACCTCCCAAGCATAGTAGGATTGCTACTATCTTGTCTTTTTATTATTATTATTAAATACAGGACTTACATTTTTTTATTCCTTTGGCCACGGCCTCAGCTGTTCAAGGGCAGCAACTGTGGTCCTCTTGTGCAGAACATATATCTCATTTGGTAACCTGTCGAACAGTATAAGGTCCTCTATATTTTGGTTTTAATTTGCCTCCACCAGCAATTTGTGAATCTTCAATGGCTACAACGTCACCAGGAATAAACAATTTTGTAGAGCATCGAGTAGCGTTAAATCGTAAAAATTGTTTGTTTGCATTAAAGTTCATTCGATTTCGAGCGTCTTCGTCGGTCTTGTCTGCGTCGACAAAATTATCGCGCCCATCCAATAATAATGTCAATATCACTTGGAATTATTTCATCCAGCACAACAATAAAACAAATTTCTAAGGTCACGGTCGACAACACAGTTATTAGTTCACACATTCCTAGAGCATAAACAATTTGGTTCCCAAATCCTGTCAACGCGTGCACTTTTTCGTTCGGCTTAAAGATACCGTTCAATGTGTTTACAAGAGAGCGTTTGATGATTGACACATCGGCACCGCTATCAATAACATAACTACATGATACTGCATCGTCTTTACCGAACACTGTTGCTATTGGTGTTAAATTCAGTTAACGTCATTTTTTAAGTATCAATGCTTTTTTTTGGTTTTCCACTTTTATACCAACAGTTTATTTCCATATGACCCATTTTTTTACAATGCGCACAAGTAGGGAGTTTTCTTTACGTACACTACGGCATGAGCTTTGCTGATGTCCTTGTTGACCGCACTTAAAACAGGCTCCTTTAAAAACCTTTGATTCTTTTTGTGCACAAAAACTTTTTGATTCCCGTTAATGTTTTCAGTTTTTTCCAAACTTGTGTTCCATTATTTCAGAAGAACTGCTGATTCGGCGTGCATCGTATTCACTCAACAATTTCATTAGTTTGCATTCTGTACTAGGCTTCTGAATTCTAATTGCTGATTGCGCCTCTGCATTATTTAAATTATATTCTACCATGCCATCTCCTGCTTTTGCGTTCATTGTCACTTCATTTAGTTCCCTTTTAAGCTGGGTGACATCATCCAACCAATCTTTGATTGAATAGGCACTTTTATCGGGATCGTAGCTTGTGACATGGAAAGAGTACACATGTCTTGATGAAGACGCATGCGCATTTTCGTCAGATGAACTAGGTGTGGTCCTTGCCAGAGGTGCTTGGGACATTGCCATCTTGGTTTGATTTGCTAACTCAGCAAGTTGTTGCTGTTGCGTCACAACTAAATTTATTAAAGTTTCTTGCCACATTTTGACGCGTTTTGGAGTTGGAGGTTGTGAAATTTCTTCTGCATCTAAATCATCACCACATAAATTGTCATTTTCAACTCTAGATAACTCATCTGCCATCTTGATGCACTCACTCTTTGTCTGCTTTTGTTTATTATAAATTAACTTAATTTAACTCAACTAAACTAATTATTGTACATGGAAATCACTATCTCACTTCTGATGTAAAACATCAGGGTATTTTACCCTGAATAAAACTAATTTGATGGGGCTTCACTTATTATTTATTACTTTTTAACTAAATTTATTAAACTGCTATGATTCGACTTCTACAAATGTTCTGCGGACTCTGCGTTACCATTCGATTTCTAAGCTGTGCCCAGATTGTTTTGCTTAGTAGGCACACGTGCCTTTATTGCTCTACTGTCCTACTTTGGTAAAAAGGGGATTATCCTAACATATCTTTAAAATGTTATCAAAAACTAATATAAACTAAAATAATATTTGTAGAAGTTCCATTCATTAAAATACTTAGCACCATGGTGCTAAATTAAACCATTTTTAAAGCTTTACAACTTCCACAAAAATTATCCAAATATTACAAAATTTTCAGGGTATATAATTTTAACCCTCCTCTTTTCAAAAAGTATAACATTAAAGTCGTATTTCTGTCAGTATACCCTTAAAAACCCCATATTAATTGCACTGTATTTGAAGACACAACTTTAACACGATTTAAAAAAAAATTAAAGGGTTCGCTAACAAAAACACGTTGTTCTAAAATTCGTTACCAAAATGTACATAACATTACCTCTAAATGTGCTACAGGGCCGCTAAAAGAATAGTCCCCCAATCTTCTTTCCTCATCCAAAAATTTGCCAGCCCGGCCGTTCTCTGGGGGGCTAAACAAGCCATAATTGAAACTTTCCTTTAGCTCCTAAAAAAATGGAAAAATATTTTGTTAGATTTTGATATCGATAATATTTATATTTAGAACGTTTAAAGCGAGGCCAAGAAAAATAAAAATAAATATCATTATCTTTAAAATTGATAACAACAGGTTTTTAAGGTATTTGTGATATATTTATGTGGTGATTTGTTTGTTTACATAAATACACAGAAATAGGAAAAATGAAGGTGGTTTAGTAAATAAACATCCAATATAACATAATAAAGAATACATGCATAGCTTTATAAAAGCGTTTAATTTAAATAAGGGTATAACAACAAAAATACGATTTAAAAAATGCATTTAAAAATAATGTTTTAGTTAGTATACCCTGAATATTTGGCATTCATTTTGTAGAAGTCACAAAGATTCAAAGTTAACCCTTAAATTTAATCCCATGCTAAATTTAAGTTAATTTAAGTTAAGTCCTGTAACTCTTACAAAAATATTGCTATTTTAATAAAATTTCCAGGGTATATACGACCACAACATTTTCCCACCATTCGATGCGAAATTGATTTGTTGTAGCATACCCTATAGCTAAAATGAATAATAACAGATATATTACTAAAAATGTGAAAAAACGCTCATTTGACTTGTGTGTTTTCACAAGTGTGCTTTGGATGGTTTAAATTTACTATTTTACAAATAATTTGAATAATATTTATATTATTTATCAAATATGAAATTTAAAACCGTATATAGTTTAATATATAAATACTCATTCATGTTCTGCTTTAGGTTTCCACGGGCGTTAATGTATTAATGGTTTTCCGTGATCTGCTCCGTGTTGTCGGTTTTTGGTTCTTAATAGAACCGTATGTCTGACGAGGTTTCGGTACAATCTTATGTACCATCTTCAGGTCTTATCTGCTGGGCTGCTGTTGCTGCTCTGCTGCGAGTTAGACGTGGAGTGAGCTCCGTTGCCGCGGATTGTTGTTTATATACCCTCTTAGCTTTCCGCGTCATTAACCGTGACTGCGATTGAACCTGTGGTATATTCAGCTTCATTGATCTCGTTAATGTGCGTGGCGTTTTGGTGGTTGTAAGAGCTAGTTTCCATGCAGTTGGTAGTCTCTGTGTATCGTCTCTTGTATTGAGGTTTCTTGGACGTTTTTATATTTTAATGGCTTCACGGATGGTACGTTTGGTCCTGTGTTCGATGCTAGCCAAGACCCTTGTTTTTTCAAAGTCAATTTCATGGGAAGTTTTTCGGACGTGTTCAGCTAAGGAAGATGTTTTTGTCTTGTTTGAAAAATTTAGTATCGCCGAAAAATTTAAAAAACATTTTATTAAAGAAGCAAGGCCGTATTAAAAATTAAATAAAATATATTTTTTTCTCACCTTGCAGAAGAAAAACCGAAAAAAATCTTTTATTTCAATTTTTTTTGCGATCCTTTAAAACACTAGTTTTTAATTTTTAGATATTTTTACGCAAAGCGTCTACAACATCACAAAAATAAACATTATATTTATATAAAATTATATAAAAAATAAAACAAAACTCAAGTATTAAGTAGGTAAGTATTAATAAAAATTGATCCTGCGAAAAAAATCCGTTTTTTTAAAGGATGGTAGCTATCATCCTTTTTAAAAAACGGATCAATTTTTATTAATACTTACTACTTAAGTTTTGTTGTATTTTTTATATAATTTTATATAAATATAATGTTTATTTTTGTGATGTTGTAGACGCTTTGCGTAAAAATATCTAAAAATGAAAAAATGATAGTCACCTGTCAATTTGTACATACTTATATTATTTGTCAAATATGGAATTTAAAACCATCCAAAGCACACTTGTGACAATACACACTATTCGAATCATTCGAATCGAATGAGCGTTTTTTAACAATTTTGGTAATATCTCTGTACTTAAGGTAGTTTTCGCGGTACTATATTGTCAAAATTTTTTAGATTATACGCACCGTAAAAGTATACGAGCTTGTAGCTAAGTGATTCATAATTTGTTCGCTAGACTGTACCCTGGAGACGTTACCTTTACGTAATACTTTTCATAAGTTTTAATCCGGCAACGTCGCCTATGCTCAACCAATAGATATATTGGAGACTGAATCAGTCCGTTTGAATTTACTAGTGATGTATACTTTTTACAAATTGTTGAACTTTAAACGGTTAATTATAAACAATTGGACGGTCAAAAATTTTTAATTATTTTTTTTTAAACTCAGCAAAAATACATTAAAACACTGTTAGTTTTTTGAAAGCTTCTGACAGTTAGTTTTTTCTATATAACTAAGAAACTGGTACAAAACTACAGAAAGCCTATACAATCCATGTTAATTATCCAATTTTTAATTGAATTTATCTCGGGTTATAGACGGTCAATCGACTTCAAATTTTAAGGATATATGTATTGTCATGTTAATAAGTATACAAAAATTTAAAATTTTCTGATGGTATGCTTACAGCACGACAACTACCTTAAATATTAATGCATTAACAAAGGCGCCATGGCTCCTGATAGGATACTCCTTTGTTAACGTGTATACCAAGAATCAACTTGTCAACATTAGTTGGTCACTGCATCTTTAAAAATTTTTGGAAAAAAAATATCTCAAAAACAATTAAGTAAAGATGGGAAAACGATTCAAAATGCAATAGCTACAGAATATTACGTAGAATTTAAAAATGCAATAATATTTATACGGTTCCGTTTAAAAAACAGTTCCAACCAAAATTTTATATTTTTTTCTTTACTGCTTAAAAACCTCTAATGAATCAGTTAGGTGAATCACCCTGTATATTGAAAAAAGTAATATACTTAAAATTATAATTTTATATGCCAATGTTGATATACACCACTACAAAATTACATATATAGTAATACAAAAAATACACCTACAATGTTCCATAGTTAACTTAACTTTACCAACTTTATATTTATCCCACAATTGTTCTTAAAAACTTTGTATTCCCCAAGGATGTCTTGTCGAAAGTTTTAAAACTAATTTTATACGTTGTATTCACCCCTAAAGTTGTGCAAGTATATCCTTTTAGCAATACGTTCCCTGTGGTATTCGTTTCACGAAAAACATATTTATTACTTCCCCCCTTAATCTAGCATACAGGAGATTTTACTTCTTAGCGATGAAGGAGAGGAAATGCTTACTTCGAGTAAAATTTTAGCAGGCGACGGCAGTGACGTCAAAATTTAACACCGAATCATAGAAAATATGAAGTAACATGTTACATGTAGTTCAAAATTAAAAAATAAAGAGCACAGTAGCATAAATTTAAAAAAGTTACGATAAATTAAAAAAATGGTAGATCAAATTTGTACATTGGTTTAAATTTAAAATATAGTTGGCGAAATTCGCAAAGTGAAATAAATTAAAAAATGGTAGAACAAATTCGCACAGTACCATAAATTAAAAAAGTTAGGAAGTAGCATAAATTAAAAAAAATGGTAGGACCACTTTGCACAGTGGCATATACAGGGTGTTATGTAATTAATGTTATATATTAAAATGGGTTGTTCCTTAGGGTCCATAAAGAAGCTCCTGAAACTTTTTTTTTCTAAATTCCAAAGTCTAAAAATAATTTATAATAACCTTTATCCTACCAAAAAGTACGCCACTGATCAACTAGGAACTTTAGGCTAATGTGGTTGCCTAATTTAATTTATTATTATATATTAAAATGGGTTGTTCCTTAGGGTCCATAAAGAAGCACCTGAAACTTTTTTTTTCTAAATTCCAAAGTCTAAAAATAATTTATAATAACCCTTATCCTACCAAAAAGTACGCCACTGATCAACTAGGAACTAATGTGGTTGCCTAATTTAATTTATTATGTTATGGTTGGTAACAACAGTGTTTCCAAAATCTGTCAAAAAAAATGACAAACATTGTTTAAATTTAGCTTAGTTACAAAAATGACAAAATAAACAATGCAAATTGTCAATGTGGCGTTTTTATTAATTGTTGGTTGTCATTTTTGTACTGAAGGTAAATTCAAATTTTAGGTTATGTGCTCAAATTGTAAATATCTTAACTAAGGGCTTTTGGATTTATTTACACAAATTAAATGTTTAAAGTTTAACCTGTGAACTGGTCCCAATTTCATCTGAGTAAACAGAAAAAAAACTGATGAAAAAATTAATTTTGTGGTTATGGATTTTTTAAAATATGTACTAAATTTTCTAATCATTGCTTAAGCTAATAGCTGGATGAGTAAATAAACACAGAAGGGTATTAGAGCTTTAGGGGCATAAAACTTTCGTATTTATTGAGTTTTTATTTATTTTTTGCAAGAAAAATTTTTAGTAACAATTTTTTACAACTGGCAACGCGCAGCTACTTTGGTTGGTATCTATGTACTCACAGAACACAAGTGTGCAGAGATAAACCAAGTGTGTAACCAGTGGCGTATCACAAAAAATATAAAAAACTTATAATGCATATTTTTTCTTTACCTTTGGAAAAATATTTTTTTAATTATTTTTCCTTTACTCCTTAGGTCATTCAGTATTTTAATATATAACATTAATTACATAACACCCTGTATTTAAAAAATGGTAGGACAAATTCACACAGTTGCAGAAATTTACAAAATAATGGGACAAATCCGCAGTGACATACATTTTAAAATGGTAGGACGAATTCTTAAAATTATCAAGTTTAAAAAAACAAATTTTTAATTAAACCTTTATTAATATCTTACTTCAAACATTTTTTATATGGTTTAGATTAAGTATAATTTAAATGTTAAATATTGATTTTAAAATTACGTTTTAATATAACAAAGTGAATATTGAAAAGTGGTACGAAGCATAACTGAATGAGTGACCTTCATAGGCATTATAAAAAACGATTTAGGTATTACATAAAATAATTATTAAATTAAAAAGCCGATCATTTAATATAACGTCGACCGTGTATTATATTAATAAATAAATAAATAAAAAAGGCGACTTTATATCGATTAATAAATTAACTGGCACATAAAATAAATACGGGGTCTTG